TTGCTCCTCAATTTCCCGAGGACCAGAATGTATCTTATCTACTTATCATATTTTCAGGCGTAATCTTGAATTACCTGCAATAATTCCTGGACCTCGTTAGCAGTAAAATGAAGCAAAATTACAATGGAATAGCACTGCCATCTCCCGTTGTTATCTATATACCTAAACTTCCAATTATTTTTTGTATTCCTTCTAGAGGTTGGATCCTATATGAATTATAGGTTCTGCTCCCGAACTACTTAGGGAAATTTATTTTTTTAAGGGTTCCGGTGCTTTGATTTCAGTGATTTTTGGTTCTGGTTCAGGTTCCATTTTTGAGTTTTTAAAGGTTCCATTATAAACAAATAAAAAATATATTATACGAAAAAAATAATACACATTATTATATTGCATAAACATATTTGTGAAGTGTAATAGAAAATTCTTTTTGTTTGTGCGTTCGTTTCACCTCTGTGAACTTCCCGTCTTTTTCTACTTTTTTTTCTTCAGCAGTAGGTTCAACTATTGCTTTCGTCAGCCTTTTACCATTTTGGATTCGCTTATCTTTATTGTCGGTATTAGTCACTCTAAAATATTTTATGTTACCTCAATCTCAGTATGACAAAGTTGACACTTAGACACCGACCTTTTTGTCATACATAAAATGGTCGTGAGGAGGGCTACGTTTAACCATTGAATAAAGTGTTTTTAACCCTACCCCATCTTACGTTTAATATTTCATCGTTAATAGTAATAACCAGTAGGTAATCATTAATGTTAAATCTACGAACAGTTTTGACACCAACACTTCAGAAACAAATTTTAACAGCTACAATATACGTGTTTACTTACAGGAGAGAGAACCGAAGAAATCGATTCTTTGGCACTAATAATAACGGTATCGATATCGGTTCGACGGTTCCGGTTATCATAACTTCTTTAACAACAGTTCCGGTTCCAAGTGAAGGCCTATAAATGCAATCGGTTCCCGTTCTTTTTGGTTTCGGTTCCAACCCTTGATTTCCTCAACCCAGTTAATGAAGTAAGGTGAGGTGAGTTACGGTATTAAAGGTAACATTAATATTTTTTGTAATCTGAGTATGCTCATCACAAGCGAACTAATATTTTCGAAACCCTATAAGCCTAGCGTGATAAATAAAACACACCTTTACTGCGAAACCCTACACTTCGTGAAGAAATTATTGGCCAATCTCGAACTCAATGAATCAATAATTAACATATTTCCGTAACTACATATCTGATCTAAACCTAGTACTTCCGGCAATAGTTCTCCAAAACAATCACTTCATATTAGTAAAACATAGTAGTATGCCAACATGTTCTATTTGGAAGAAAAATCTTGTAAGGTAAACTATCCTCCAATAACGTCCATTTTAGGTATCAAAATAGATTCTACCTCGCGCAAGGGATGTCACATTATATCATAGTGACTAAACATGTATAAGTAGGTATAGCCAAACAAGCCAAATTCTAAGTTTAGCAAGATCCACCTGAAGAATGCTCGTACCGTACTCGTACATCAACCGTAGACATAATAGACTCGTATTTTTGACCGTGCCGACGTATCGTTACACTTGCCACCAATTTACATAATTTTTTTGCGACCAAATTTCATTGGCCAAATTGAAGAGCTTAAAATTGCCAAAAATAACCTTCAGGTGTGTCTTTACTCGCACATCGAAGCAAGTACCTTTCATTGGTGACAATGAATCTAGTCTAATTACGCAGTGTGAAGGTAGATGTATCCGGAAATAGTGCCTCTAGCGGGGTGAGACAGTCAATGTCAACCCGCGGCCTTCGCTCTATTTATACGGAACCGCTCCCATGTACCAACTGCAAGAATCTGATTGTAAGATGTATGGCAACCTGGCTCATTAAGCTTTTCACGCCGTTTAAAATTAACGGATCGATTAAATTAGTCCTAGTGAACTATCTAGCTTTAGTTATTCCGAAAGTTAAAAAAAAATGTCACCGAAGGCCTTTGAATGCAACCTTCATTTTTTCTCTTGGGATATTTATGTGTGTTATGAAAGGTGGCATTTAATACGAATTCGTGTATGAAGATCCAGTAGGAAGTTTAAAATAGGACCCAGTCACCTCATGTACTTTGTTTATTTCGGACTTGCTTTATTTTTAGCGCACTTCGACAGGTAGCCTAGACCGTTCAAATTTAACCGACGAAAAAAAAGCGTAAAGGACATTGAAGTCAATTTAACATACAAATCAATGACTGTAAATGTCTTTCAGTAATTATAATGATCGCTGTAAAAAGTTAATTAAACACGAACGGTTCGGTTGTGATGAAAGTCCGTGCAAATTTTCGGATAGTTACGATTCGAAAAATATGTTTAAACGAGAAGATGGTTCTGGTAAAACTTTGGTAACCACTCAATATCAAATTTGTGTCGAAATCAGAATTATGTACTCGCTCTTTTTTAGAGTTACGCGATCTTAGGGTGGGAATTTTGGAAACATTTTCGCAAAGTGGGAAAGGTCATACCCAGCAAATTTTCGATCTCGAGCCTGGTTCTCGAGGAAAATTTAAAAAAAATATATGCAATTTGGAAGACCTTTTTACCCAGCGATTTGTGATCCTTGATATATTTAAAAAAATGTTTGTTTTGGTCTTCTCTACCACTCGAGGTGCCGGAAGAGAGCAGCCATAAAGGGTAAGAGAAACGTCTGGACGATACATATCTTCTGATGGTGATGTCTAAACTTTCAGTGCACATATCTGCAGAATTGAGTGTCGGAGAAGAGTACTTTCAAAGGGCGGAAAGTTCGTCTACGCGAGACACATCTCGAAAATGTTGTAAGAAGGCGCCTACAAATGGAAAGTTCAATATTTCTGAGAATTGCTCTTGATTCTTCTTACATTATATAGCGTAGATTTTGAATGTATGATAGGTGGCCTTTAAATGCTTATGTGTAAATAGCCCCCTCCCCATTAATTATCTACCATGAAGGTAAACATCGGTAAATATAGTAAGCTACTACCTTATAACCCAACTAATTTTAATAAAGAGATGTGCACAATTTATACTTGTTCAAATTCCTCTTCAAATTTTTCTCGAGTTCTCCCTCATGTAGGCATCCCTTAATTAAGTTACCTACAAGTTCCCTTAAAGATCTAATTAAATCCTTCTAATTCCTCCCTCCTCAAGCTCCCTCATCAAAACCTGCTCTCAAAATCTTCAAATTGTTACCCTCAAGTTCCTTTTAATCAATTCAAATTAGTCATATTTAATTCCTATCGCTATCAAGAACAATATTGGAAGTAAATCATCTTGTTAAAAAAATATTTGAAGATAAGGCGCCCTCCTCCTAACCTTTCATCACAGATCACACTTATCAGTCCTTGGAACATGGTAACTAAGGTGGCCTTATACGACGCTAGTAACACGTACGAGTTGCTAAAGCCGAGTACTACTCGTATCCTGTAAATTAGGATTCAGGAAGCGTAAAAGGTAGACGGATGGAAGTTGCGATATAGTAGCTTTACGCGTGGGTGCAAAAAAAATCTGATCGTCTATCGGAAGCAGTGCCATCTTTACGCATTGGTCAGCCGAATACCAGGGGGCCCCATCAGATGCTGTTCCCCAACTGTTTTACTTCAATTTTTTAGCGCATTTTCTAACTTATGTTGGGAGGTGCTATTATAGCCACTTCATCTGTCCGTTCGTCCGCCTAATAACTATTAATTTAGGCGAACTAAATGCCGAATTGTTCTAAAATACACCATGAGGATGTTAATGCAAATGGATTGGAGTCTAAATGCATTCATTTGAAAAGATCAAACAGATCAAATCATAAAAATCCAAAATCCAAGAAACAAGTATTGATTTTGAAGACGAAATAAATGATTTTCCGCATAAGAAATCCAGAAAGAAGCCCCTTGCGTCTATGTAAATAACCATTCCGGTTTATTTTGTAAATGTTCTTGAATGGTATTTTCCATTATACGTAAGTGCGTGCGCCTATGTGTGTTATTTTATCATTTTTTATATAAATAAATACTATTCCAAGAAAAATTGTGCCTTGTTTGCTATCTTCCCAAATCGGGGTCGGAGTCCCGGGATTGTGGTCCCGTTGCCAACCAGAGGAGTCGCATGCACAAATCAAAAGCAGATTATTTGTAAAATCCGTTCGTTGAGATTTGCGGTTTAGTTTCTAAAGCGATCGATTTCGGGTTTAACCACTCATCATCAGGCTAGGCTAAAAGTATATCACATGAATTTGATGAACACAGAATTAAAATTATTACCGTCAATTTACAACTCTATGTCGCTGCATTTATATAATTTAAATTGACGGTAATAATTTTAATTCTGTGTTCATCAAATTCATGTGATATACCTTTAGCCTAGCCTGATGATGGGTGGTTAAATCCGAAATCGATCGCTTTAGAAACAATAAACAATTGTGGTTCTTTTTTACATATTAAAGCAAAAGCAGATTATTTCGTTGCGTTTTACGCGATGGAATAATTAGAAATTTAACGATCGCACGAAATATTACAGTTGAATTTAAGTTTCACGTTCAAAGATACCAAGATATACAATTTTTGCAAAATTAGAACAGACATACCTAAGACAACTCCGTCCTCCTATATGTTAGGTTTACAGAAAAAAAACCATTGCTCCCAAAGTAAATATTTTTGTCCTCCAGTTTATATGGACAAAATGTTGCTCAGATCATTGCCCAGACATTTCATGACCGCCATACTAAATTATCATTCAGCAACGTCACAGTGTTTCCAAGCAGAACGAATGTATGTAACTTAACATAAATCTTATTGTTATTTCTTTTGTAGATTAGATAAACCACTCGGTTTCTTTCAATTTTGGTTTTTTTTATCTGTCGGATTTGTTTTGTGACATTACGGAAAGAGTTTAGCGATTAACGTTTCCTTGAATCCGTTAAGACTTGAAACTGTAATCCATAATTCTCTGATGGTTCTAAGTGTGCAGCTTTTTGACCACTCGAGTTCAATAAACGTGTTATTTTATACATTTTTATTTAAGAGTTTGCGTAGAACTTTGAAGTAAGTTTCAGCTCACTGGCAATCCATAAGTGTAGGTAAGTACCCCTAATTGATGGCCGGTTATACTGTGCTTTATCCAGAAAATAAGCAGAATAACAATTTGTAATATTCAACTATTATTACTAAATGCCATAATACTGATTTGCAAAAATTGTGCTCATTTGTCTATCCCTTAAAACCCCTGCTACAGTTTCCTCACTCACGGGACGCGATACTTTCCAATAGTGTAAGTATCCGATAAAAACTGAATGTACTAGAAAAGCTGTAAGAAAATATGAGTCAACTGACTGTCTTAATCGTAGTCAAAAATTACCGTAGTAGCCTGTATAAACCCAGACAATCCCGTCGGCCAAGTCATGAAAAGATCTAAATTTGAAGACTAGAACTTCAAAAAAGAAATTGACGAGTAGAAATAGTGTTAGTAGGAGACTATGTAGTAACACTGCAGTTTTTCTAAATAGCTGAAAGGTTTTTGCAATTTTACTGGAATTAAAAATATAGAAAAGTTACCCTCGATGATCCGAAAGTTATTAAACTGGAGCACACTCCCACGATGATCACTCTGAAAACGATAACCCATTCTTCACCTGGGAATACAAATTATAGTTATAAGGGAAATAATCAAGTACTATTATCATTAAGCATGATGGATTTTGCAGCACTCGCGGTATTTTTCTGATCAAGTTTCCACTTCTGTAATTCGTATTGGATTTCTGTCGTGTTCCAAGATTTTGCTACAGTAGAGAAAAGATTTGTATAAAAGTAATTACTTACTCGACGTGAATTCGTAATTAAATCTGTCGTAGGTAAATGCGTCGATTACGAAACATACCTAAAAATCGATGAATACATTAAGATGTACAATCTAGCGAGTTAGTAATTTGAATGAGGTTACGATATTATGCCGCTTCGAGAGTAAAAGTAGTTGACACACTCCTCTAGTGCCCCCAATTTTTATTATTATATAAGCGTCAATAATTTACTTACAAATTCAATTACTCCCGTCACTATACACCCGGTCTTTAATGGTACCGAACAGCAACATTCATCTAACAAGATATTTTTTGACATTTTACGCACTTGTCAATTTATCAAGTCACGTGGCGTTCAATTTTTTCCTTGACTCTAAACACAATTAATCGTGCAAGTAGGTAGGATTCTATAAAAATAGTGTTTCATAAAAATAAGTTAAAACCTTTTTTTTTCGTTCGTAATGATATTTGGCAAGGTAATAAATTCGCGTGTGCCAATAAAACTCTCTGTAGCGTATTGCCAAAATGTTCACTCATTAATGCTGCTGAACTTGAGCCGGACGAGTGCAGAACTTATTTGGGTACGTCATAGCAAAAAGGTAAACGAGAGAGAAAGGTTATCGTTTCTCAAGTTGTGCACGGCTCATCGTCATCATACTAAGGAATGCTCAAAAGAACGGTCGGAGTGTTACGAACGAAGTAATCGAGAATATCCTCCATTAAAAACGTGTTACTGTTGACTGTTGAAACTTTTGAACTTAACTTTTGAAATTAACGCCGTATCAGAGAATTTTCTGAGCGAGTGCAAGGTCTCATTGAACTCCTAGGCATTACCAAAAGACCATCTATTGAAATTGATTTGATTTCGGGGTAGCTGATAAACAAATTGAGTAGGTATAGTAGAAAAGTGACTTGAGAAAAAAGATATTTGTTTCCCCAAACCTTAACATTATGTACACAGAAACATGTGCTACATTAAATAATATATACATATACGTACAAATCAGAGATTATGAAGATAAAAATGTATTTTATGACAGTTTCTCTTATGTAAGCAAGAAAATGCTTTAATTTGAGTTGTAATATGGTAACAATGTACGTTCATATCTGAAAAAACAAAATCCTTGTGAAGGTTATCATCATACATGAGTTTTGTGTAATTAACAGTATCCGAAAGAGATTTTTTTACAATTATTTATAAACAACATTGATTTGATAATGGAGCTTTGGGAAACTCCTGAGATGACCCTGAAACACCATTATAGGACTATTCATTGCACTCTTTTCAAAACAGTGCAGTGTTAGAAAATCGTAATAATTGAAGCTCCTTCTGTGGTTGTTATGGGCAACTTGATCAAAGATAGGGCTGTATAGATTTCATCGATCTAATTGTTAAAGCCCTCCTCCCGCAGTCAGATTTATTTGAAAGTCCGCGACTATCTGCAGAAGCCATCTCCTGTTGGCGAAGCGTTCATAATAAGTACTTAGAGTTAGATAGTAGATCAATAGAAACCCTTACCATGCCTCTCGTCGCATGTTTGCAGGTATCATTTGAACGTCCGCCTCAACATCTGGTGGAGATTGTCAGCAGTAGAAATCAAAGGGAGAATTGCTATCTATACGTAGACGGAACCTGCAGAAAGTAACTCAAGGTATGGTTTTAATTATATTATTTGGTATCCGACCAACGAGCCTCTGTTTCAAACACACTAATGCAAAAAGATTTTTGGAATGCAAGTTATTTACCCCGTTCATACGACTGCTGATGATTTTACCAGACTGGTAAAAAATCTATTGCAGTACTCAGAAATTAATAATCTTTTTTTTTTCAAAGTAAGGAAACATAACTTTCTGAAACAAAAAACCCTATTCGTGAATAGAGTATAAACCATTGCTATTACTCATTTCCATTCCTCCCGATCTGTCCATCTGCCAGACTTCTCCCTCTTAGCTCTTTATCAATGCATCCTCTCTAGTTCTATCGTGGTCTTTCACCTTTTCTTTCCTTTTGGATTCAACTGCGAAGTTTTCGTTTACCTATTTAAATACGAGTACTACCGAGAGCAACGTTGCTTGACTTAGACAATAATAAATTATATATAAGTAATAAACACAAACCAAAGTAAATAAAGTGCGTGAAGTTCGTAAGAAAATATAAAAGTGTAAGTAGAAATTTTATTTAGAAACATCCTGTGTTATAAAATTCCACCGTTAGATGTAGTCTGGTGTAGTCCCCCATCCTTTAAAATTAAATCTCTTTTCAATCTCCCACCTGTTTGTGCTTCTCCTTGTCCCTATAAAATTGCAATTGTTAAGAACCAGAAATTAATTCCTGTACCTTTTACCGACCAGAAACCAGAATCAGATTCCATACCAAGCATTATTGCATCCCCGAGTAGAAACCCAGAAGTCCTTTTATTTTATTTCCTTTTTGTTTTGATTCACCGAGAGCTTTTTGATAATTAGTTTTATTTTGCCGTCTTATTCGCTCCTGTGTTACAGGTGTCGATAATCCTTGTAGGGTTAAGATCCTGCGCTGATACAGCACTGGTATCTTGCTTCACGCATTCGGTCGATAAATTCGGAATTCAACTGACTTTGAGGAGGGTGGCTTGAATTGGGTGGAAGGCGCCAAGTAAATGCTTGCCGACCTTATTCGGGAACCGCATCGAGACAATATTCGTTCCCTTTAAGTAAACTAAGGTCTGGGTTAAATCATTGGTTAAATGCGCCCGTGTCAGGGTCCAGTAAAACCTGAAATTTAAGTTGAGAAGAAAGCTTCCTGTAATTCCGATACCTGCATTCGGTAGCCTTGATCAGAATCCGTGCTTATAACTCTATAATAACAGCTAATTAGCCGCCCGTTCAACATCGACACCCCGTTTCGGTTCCGTAAATAAAATTACGAGAAAATAGTTACGTTTATTTTGACACCGTCAATTTGACAGCAACAACCCGTGGCTGATCATAAAAAATTATCGGCTATTGCGAACTAATTAGAATTATTGCTTTAATAAAGCGGACACTTTGCTTTTGTACGAGTATAACAATAGAATTCGGAACGGAACAAAAATAAATGGCGGGTTATATACGATAGTTTTGAAGCAAGCATTTTGTCTAGAAAAGATATCAGTTTCAGGAGATAATTTATTTGGGTGTAGCTGCACCTGCATAAGCGAGACAAATTGGGGTGTAGCCGAGGGTGGGTCATTTCTTTTGTGAGTTGCCGTAATCTTATATTTGAATACCACTTAATTAATTTATATGCAGTGTCCCATTCACCTTGAGACAGTCGATTATTGCGGAAACTAGAGGGGAAATAAATATTATTTATATAAAATATTCTTCATATCCTCATTTAATGATGCTATCCACATTTTCACATAACTGATGTAGTAATTTTTTCAAATAAAACCTATAGTTTTTATTGAATTATCTTATTCTACATCGGAAAATAATAAACGTTCGGTGGAAAACCTTTTTCCCGACACTTGCCATTTTTTGAAGACTTCTTTTTGATTTGAACTAGGAAGCTTAATCTAAAAAAAACTGGTCTAAAAGAAAAATGTGAAAAACTGATTTAGCTCGATTTGTGATCTGGGAGGAGGAGGAGCGGAGGGGGAGTACACATATATTTAAAAAAATAATTTTTAATTTAACAGTTTCCTACCTTCATGGTTGAGTTTTAAAAAACCCTATCCAATTTTTACTGTCAATGAATTAAGGTTTATCGAAATATCTTGCTGAAACAAAAATTGAGCATATTATTTTAACATAGGTCTCACGGATATGTATCCCAATGCTACAATATGATTAAGTATGTTTCACTTCATCCGTGGCAAACCAGTGGATGTGGTGAATTATTTTGCATAAGGGTTTAGATAGGTATATTTATCGATTTCGAATAAGCTGGAGAAATCTGCATGTCCATTGATGGAAAATCTATTTAAAATCTAGTTCGAACTAGAATTTTTAATCTTTTCTTTATCCCAGAAAGCTTACGAGCAATACTTGTTGATTTAGTATAACTGTATAAGATATGTGTGGGAATGATATTGGTTCTTAAATGCGTCCAAAACTAATGCCCCCTCGGCCCGGTTGGCGCAAGAGTCGAGCAAGCGCGATTGCGGTAGTAAGGGCCCCTGGTTCGAATCCGGGTTCGCACGAACTAAGACACAAAATGAATAGCTTCCTGCTTGCATTTGTATCTTTACGAGTTCCCTACTTTCTTCCACAGCAGATCTGAAACTCGTAGATTACTTCAATACGGCACTAACGGTTCCGGATATGGTTCCACCTTTATGCAATTATTGTTTTCGCGCAATGGCCTATAACATTTTATTTTTTAGATTAGAAATTGTATTGTTCCAAGTCCAAAGTCAAGTAAAAAGATTAAGATCAATTCCCTTTCCATCACAAAGGAAGGGATATTTAGTTGGAAAGTGATTTTTAACGAATTGTTTCAGTTATTACATGCATAAAGAATTTCCTATGTACTATTAACATTTATCTTCAAAATGTAGGTTGATCTCAATCGTTTTAAAATAATGTCAACATTACATAATAAAACACAATGGGTTAGTTGGCGTTCATATTTTTCAATGCATAAATTTGCAAAAGTAATTTTGCTCAAATTTTCAATGAAAGTCCTGTCGTGTGACAGGGTTTAATTAGGAAAACAATCAATATCTTCCGTGAAGCTTATGGGAAAATTTATGTTCATCTCAACTACTGTAGACGTGCCCTTGAACGTAAATGTTTATTACGATTGTGCCATGATACTACATGTACCACGTTATCATAACAATTCTTTTACTGAATGAAAATCTTTTTAGTTGTGTAGGAGTAGGTGTGTCGTGTCAATCTCGTGTTCGTCATTTCATGTGAAGATGATTACCTCAATCTCGTAGAAGAGATTGTTTAAACTGATAAACTAACAGATTCAGGTCATGAATCGTGCTTGAAAATGAACAATATTTTGTTGCAGCGTAAACGGTTGATAAAGTTTGAAGTTTATTTCACTTGTGTAATTATGTACCTAGGTGAGGAATAATAAGACGCCAAAATAATCTTCTTTAATGACATTCTTATGAAATTGAAAATTTCACGGACTAAGCTATGATATGGTGTCAAAGGCTGGGGGTTGTGCTCTTTTGTTTTTTTTTTGTGTGCCGTTGCATTCGTAATAAAAAATGCTATTTTATCTTTCACCGTTGGTCTCGATAATTGGGAGCTAAGGAAAATGTTCTGCAGTTCGCAACCAATGAACCAAGCGAGGATCTTTATTTCATAGCGCCTAAGTATTCCGACCGTGTTGCCTACCTCAAACTCTGAAGAAGGCATACTGGCATACGTGTAACTGAAACACTTTCTTTAGTTATAATGAAGGAATATCGTACTGGAGCACTTCGCGGTCGCGCTTGTGGTATTATCTACATTTTCTTACCAGAAAAAGTATACACAAATCGTTAACAAAACGAATGCGTTTCGACAGAAACAATGTCATCATCAGCGAACAACGAAAAGAAACATCGCCAATATTACTCTATTTATCCTAAGTTTTTCATTTTCGAACGTGATTTGTAATTATTTGTAATTATTTTATAAGTGATAAGTAATTAATAATGAGTAATTCCTACTTTCTTTTTAGCTTTTCACTTATGATGACCGTTTTGCTTAACAAATTTTTGTTTGTTTCAGAATATGTCCAATGGGGTTCCAATTTCGAGGGAGATTAACGATAAAAATATGTAATTCCAATTACCCAGATAAAGATGCTATTATAGAGGATGGAATGAGAAACTTTCGGCGTAACAATGCGTTCACGAACAGGCTTATAAACGGCTTTACTTTGTACTAGTTTAATTATTGTCCTTATAGGGGAGTATGGCCATTTTGAGTATTTTATTCAAATAAATTTTGTACAATCAAAACGTGAAATGTGTAAAATGGATTTATTTAGTTTTGGTTTTTTAAAATCAATTCACAACCACACCATCCAAGTTTAATTTTTGGATATTTCTGTAAAAAGAATGTTTTAGCCTCGGTTTTAGCCTTTAAAGTGATGTCACTCGCTATGGGGGGATACATATTATAATTTTAAAGTAGTGATAGTTCTCGGTGTGAGAGTGAATGCTAAAACTAAAGTAAAACTTCCATTAAACTTCCGCCTAGCTATCTAAATGGGCGTATTTTTCCAATTTTTTATTTTTTATTTAAATTACAAATTACAATCGGCGATTCGTTTTGAAATGTAACGAAATGGAAGCACTGTATAAGAACTTAGGTAGAAACGCTTACGCGCTATAGGGATTTCAATGGTAACTCTTTATATTGAAATATTTTCTCCCCTAAGTAATTGACAGCAAAGTTGCAAATCAATTGTTTGTAGATTGTAATTCATGTGCTCATTCATAATTTTTTGTTGTGAGAAATAGGAGAAATTAAGGAAATTATAAATTATAATTATTTCTATTCTACACCCTGTATATTAGATAAGTTTAACTGAAACACGCAAGATCGGCAATGCTTTAGGAATAACTGTGCTTTCTCTCAGGAAACAACTAGGGAAAATTATAAACAACTTGAAAAATAATCATCCCATGCAGTAACAGATATAGCATCGTAATAACGTTATCGCTCTACTATAAAGCCGCAATGCACATCGTGCTTTTGAAGCCACTGGCAAATGAATTTTTGCAGTAACTGTAAAATGCTGTGCATAGGAAACCTACAATAGGAAAGACCAACTTGCTATTGAAGACGGGAAATTAAACCGAAACACTGTTGTCTCTAGGATCACCATGAGGTTGATCAACTTCATTCAAGTTCAATCCTGGAGTGCTCTAAATATTTATTCCATAGTGAAGACGAAGTCCAATTATTAAAACTTAGGGTTGTGTTAAAGCAGTTAAACAATCAGCTTTTTTGGGGGTTAATTAAAAAAATGGATCCATTTTCAATGTTTGAGCTCTTAACATTTAGTTAGCATAGAGTTCGCACTACATCTTTATACTCGTACATCGATTTTAACTATTATACGTAGGTAAAAATTGACAATGGCTCAAAGAGAGTTCCAAATAAAATATTTCTAAACTTTTCCTGTCAACTTCATTAACGTTGTTCATAATTGTTATTTAAAAGCAAAGGTACACAGAAAAAATAACCTACCTTCACGAAAACTATCGCGAGTGATATGATACAAATGTTGGAAATTTGATACACGTACACTTATTATAACACTGGGTAAAAACTAAATACTTTTAAAATTCACATGGAAATATCATAATTCACACAATACACTACGTTATTTCCGTTTCCTTCTTCACTCGTCACATATTTACTATCGAGATTAAGTCTATGAATAACTATGACACACCTCCTATGTAGATAATTTTGTTTCTTACAAGGTGGTGTATTAATAACAATAAAAGTGTATTTGTTTATGTTTATAACAACCTTTTAAAAATCCTCTTAGCTCCCGTAATTCATTGCCTGCAACATAGGCCCCCGGAATATTTGTCCAAAAAATGCCGCCTTGAATATTCGCTCCTGGGAAGCCTCACGTAAGGATCGTGTTTAGGAAGAAAAAGAAAACGTTGAATTTTTGTATTTTCCGTGAAAACGAGTTCTGTTGAGGGACTGAGTTTAGTAATTAACAAATGTTACGGAACCGAGTGAGGATACACAGAACGAATTATTTTTTTCATAGAATTTTTTTATATGGCGAAAGGCATTCAGAAAAAGTGTGATAATAAGATAGTGTATTTTTAAAATGTAAAAAAAGGCAAAATTTGTCATAGTTAGCCCTGTCAACTTAGACGTTATGCGCTCCTGGAAGACATCAAGAAATTACAGAAAATGAATTCTACAAACAGATAGTACATATAGCGAATTTGCGGATTCGAGTATAAACATTTGTCACTAATTTATTTATTTCTATTATAATTTTGGAAAATTTGTCCTATGGGCGCTAAACTTGGTGTCTTATATCTGAAAACTGTTGTCTTATCTTAGCGGAAGTATTATAAATATTAACAAAATAATTTGACGTAAGCCAAGCATGCAATCGCGAAATCATGTAAGAAGAAAGTACATAGGTAAGTGCAAGATAGAGGTATAATCATAATTAATTATTAATTAATTAATTAAGGGATTCGAAGAAACATCTAACAGTGAACTAGTGATGACGTTTTCTTCCTGATTATCACGCCCCAGGAACACTACAGCAAACATGTTTGTGTTTGCAATTTTTTTCTCGGGAACCAAATCACAGATAGAATTAAGCGATTTAGGTCCTTGTGGTTTTTGGGTAAGAATTTTCTCGTGAACGGAGGTATGTTGAACTCAAGCGAAACATTTGGAACCATTGATTCATGTGGAATGTGTTCCTCGATTTTTTTGTTATACTAATTATTACGTGTTCAGAAACAAATATTCATAAATTCAACACTTTGATAAACATTCCACACTTCTTAATACTAGCAGCAAAGGCAAACGGCATAAGAAACCCGATTTGCGTTTTTGCAGTGGTTTCAAATCTAAATCGGGGATAGAAAAAGCTATATAGCGGAAGCTTAATTGTTGCTTTGAAAGCTAATGTTACTAAATATAATGTTTATTTTCTTATTACATAGAGAAAAACACTATAAGCTAGAAGACGGGTTATCATTAGAGAAAGTACAGGGGTCAATTTCAAAATCTTTAGAAAGAAATCTGTTGATTTTGAACCAAAACGATCACATCCCTTCAGGAAGGGAAGCCAGAAAAGAAGTTTGGAAATTTTGGAAATCATATCATCTTACTGCGTCGGCAAAGAAGAAAAAAACTTTGAGGTGAGTCTAAACATTACATTATGAATAAAAATACCTCGGAAAATACATTTATGAAAGTTTTCAAAAAAACATTTTCGTTATTGAAAATTTATCGACCACGAAGTTAATATTTATTTTTTTCATTATCAGCGAGTTGTAATGAATAATTTTGTTAAAAGTGACTGAAAATTTACGAAAAAAACATGAACCGGTATAATCGAGGGTACCTATAATTAAAAATACTGACCTACTCAAACTTACCTATAGTGCTTACTCACCATGGTTTACACTTTATTAGTCACTTGAAAAATTGTAAATCATCCGATTTTTTCCTCGTGAGTACATGCGTGGAAATGAAAAATAATTAAAATTAATTCGGGCGATTTATTAAATAAAAACAAGAACATAATATTTAAGTAGTATAAAATGTACACCAGAATCTTATTTCATTTTTACAAACGTCATCTTTGGAAAATATATTAAAATATATTACAATATACATACATACAAACATACAGACATATACATAAAATATATTGAAATCAAAATATTTTACAATAAAATTAAAAGATATAACAACGATATATTTTTTAAAAAAATATATCCTCTAGAAATACAATCTATTATAATTTAAAAAAGGTACGATAGCTTCGGTTGCAAAATTATAGTATATTCCATTTTAAAATACACTTTAGTCGATCACAAAAAAACGAACGGAACAATTCTAATCTTTAAATACCCGTTAAAAGCTATTAACTTTATTTTGCAAGGAATCTAATACGACGCGAGTTATCTACAAAATTTTCTAAAATAATATAAAAAAAGTGAAGATTCCTTGCAAAATAAACAAAAATCGTTTCATTAATAAATTATTTCTCGACACCAAGGAGATCTAGATAAAACTGAACAAAAAATTCTTCACGCGATTAATAACATCGAAACTTTCCGCTGTTCAAATTATATATTACATGAAAAATGTTTTTTTAACCTTATTGTCGTATGTAAGGCAAACGGATTTGTCGTCGATTTCGTCAGTATACAAAAAAATTAAGTCTATCGGGTACAAATAATTTAAATAAAATATCTAGGCTATTGTCCGTAATCATTTATGATGTCCATGACCCTCGATCTGTCTTCTGTCCTGATAACGAAAGAAAAAAAAGCGTAAGACATTTTGATATTTTCTTAAAAAACAAGAAAAAAGATGTCTTGAACGTATTGGCATAGATTTATAATCGGTTTTTTGAGCAAAAATAAACCACCCCAATAGATCAGGACCTCCTTATAATAAAAGTGTCCTTACATGTGCTGTTGCTGTTGCAATTGAAAGGCATCCAGGTGTTTGTTTATTTCTCGATGGATGTGCTCCGGTAGGACACCCACGTTTGAAAACAGACTTCTAAGTACGTTCAGTTCTTCGCTTAGGAGCTCTATCCTCTTTTGCAGTCTTTCGTTTTCTTTGACGAGAATTTTGACTTTTTCCTCAGTTTCGCGCGTTCGCACCTTCGCCTTTTCCCTACTTTTCCTGACGGCGATGTTGTTTCGCTCCCTTCGCCGCCTGTACTCGTCGCTATTTTTGTCGCATGGTTTCATGTGTTTTCTGGCGGCGTGCTGGTTTAACATGACCGCCTTGTTCTTCATCGCGTTCAACTGCTGATGATGCAACACGCTACTGGGGGTGAGTGGTGCGAAACCCGGCGCACCACCGTTCGGTGGATAAGACGGTCCTTGCATGTAGCTGTTGGGCATGACGTTACAAGATCGCCTGTAGTCTTGGGGGTCGATCGGTTCTTCTTTAATTAATGGAGAGTCACTCACTCCCGAACTATTCGAATCACTACTCGATGTTTGATTACCGTTTCCAGCGTAAGTAGCACCACTGTGTACCGGTTGTGGCATATACGCCAAAGTCGTTCTGGGATAATTCGAACTGGGTAAACTATTCAATACTTGTCTAGGGTGTAAATTTTGCAAATGTTTGTTCGGTACTTGGTTCTGTAAGATGTCCGTAAAGATGCCTTCGTTCATTAACTGCGAATCGTCTATCAAATTCTGTAAGTCTAGTGATATTTCCGGGGTGTTCAGATCGCTTAATTCGCCGTGTTGGTACTGTTGCATGTGGTGTTGTTTTAGTAGTGCCGCCGTTTGCTTAGTCGTTCCATTACTCGTATTTAAATTCGTTAAGTTACTATTATTATTTATAATTACAGTTTTTTTCTCATTATGGTTCATCACTGCACCATTTTGCGTATGTTGCTGATTATCATACATTTGCGGTGAATCCATCGTTATTGAATCCAAATTAACTTTCACTCGCTACTTTCACTACCGAAAATTCGCGGTTGTCTTTTTACTATTTAAATAGTAAGATGCGTCCGTACGTTATTATAACTAACTACACTTCACGCACTTTCCAACAGTTTCCATTTTCGGTAAAAATCTACCGAAATGCAGATAAGCACTTGGTTATCCAGGCCCGATCAGTCACTTATTTAAATTTTAAATCACCGTTTTTTATTAAATTAATATCTGAAGAATCCTTTGAAGGTACACGTGATTTTGACTACTGCACTACAAGAAAGACAATGTTGACAACCGATCCGGATACTTTCGTTATATGTCCACAGTTTAAATAATCGCAAAAAAGTTTTGTGAATATATCGCGACTGAATCAAAATAAAGTTTTATTTTAGTAAGAGCATACTTGGTACCACACTATCGTGCGCTTGCCCAAGCTAACTAGGATACTGCGATTGCTAAGCTCTATTCCTGCAGTTTGTAGCAGCTCAGTGGAACTTGCGCGTTTAGTACCGACATACGATGACGTCCTTTCGAAAGTGAAACGATTCAATTCGATTTCATGCTTTAAGAAAAAATTACGTTTTGACGTAAGATTTGTTATATATGACGATTTTTCGGATATAGGCGTATGGATATTACTGATATTACGTTGCCTATACATAAATTGTTATGATTTTTTAATTTAGCGTACGATTACGTCTAAACTATCGTTCTTTAATAATGCAAAAGATATTAATTTTATTTACGACCCAAATAAAAAATATACTACTTGACGTTTATTTGTCCCAATTAATGCAAAACTATTTTGATTCCCACATTTTCCAATTTCGGATAACTAAGTACTTTTTGTGAAAAAATGCTTTTTTTAAATAAAAATTTACCAAAAAAATTTAAAAATTGCTACGTCACAGGACGTCATGAACCTGATTCACACGTGCAGGAATGTGCATACATTCGTGAAGAAAGTGGGTCACAAATCAAACCAACACTTATCGTAAAACGAGGAACTTCCGCCATCTTATAACTGGTAGCAAAACTACAACTACCTACCACGGTAGCTAAGTTGACAAACGATTTGTTATCATATGAGTGATCCATTTAAAGCAAAAATAACTGTAAAATTGTTTATTAAAGTCGTAATCTGTTTAAACAAAAAAGCGCCCTTCTAATAACTTCGATCGTCATGGTTTGTAAATCAACTTTATTCGTTTTATAGTTTCTCGAGAGTACTTAGATTAATCATGACATCACTTCAAAGTCAGGCCATGAGATGGAATTGGAGTTATAAATGAGCATTTCACTTTTATAATTCTTTATTTTATTACATGATTAATATTTAATAAGTACCTACTAATACATAACTTGTGCAAGATGTACCGATGTAATCGAACTGTGTTCATTTTATCTTGCTTTTTTTTGCTTTCTCATGTCATTTGTCAATGATGTTTTTCTTGGCCGACATCTACTTTTACTCTTTGTATCTTTGTTCGCCACACTTTTTACTGGTCGCTCGTTTCGCATTCTTTGGGGGATGTCCAAATCATCTTATCTGGCTTTCTTACGGTTAATTGCTTTTAATTCTCATTCACAATTTCATTTCGTATCCCATAGGCTACAAGTTCTGTTGATTGTGAAAGTAGGGTAGCCAAAGTAGGTATAGGGGAGTCGTGACTACTGGGGTAAAACAGTAACAGTAAGCTCATGCTTCCGTAACTATGACCATTATTAAAAATAAGGATCATAGCGCAGAACAATTTTTAAAGCACAAAGTTAGCGACAGTCATGGAAGAAACCTGGCACATAAAAAAAAGTTCGCAACATAGAATAAATAGAAAAAATAGAAACACACCTTGCCCACCTCGGGACGTTGAAGGTAAAAATATCTTGACATCTTTGGCTACGTAGTGAGCCAAAGCGTATTATTTCAAACAAATCTTTAGATTCCACACGGACAATACCAAAGCGTGTCTTATGTTTCACAGCCTACACATTTTATGCACCATTTCTTCACATCATGTTTGCAATTCACCCAGTAAAATCGTTCCCGCACCTTAACCATGGATTCAGGATCCAAACCAACTTGCCAGTAGCCGCTCTTCAGATCTGAGGTGGAAAATCACTTACTATTTACAGATTAACTGGAATTGGGTAGCACGGATAAGACTTTAGGGTTAAATCCATGGAGGTTAGCATTTTGAACATTTTGCGTCCTCTTGGATAATTTCTTCTAGGATTTTTAGTGCTGGTCCATCAAAACTTTGTGAAACCTTGAATGGCGAAAAAGTTAATAAGACTGATCAAGAAGATTATTCAAAAATTAAAGTATCATCTACTACATCTACAGGTTCCATTAGATGCCAGATAATGTGAAAGGCACTAGAGGATTAAAACTACATTGCAAATATTAAACATCCAGGTCAGTTTATAAATTCTACCAGTATTAAATACAGCTCAAAAGATCCACCTACTATCCCTTTTGTTAAACAAACTGCAACCCCTTTACATAATTCTGGACAATTATATAATAAACTTGATGAAACTTCACCTTCAGATACTCAAGTGAACTCTTTCAAATTTCAAAGTTGGTCTTTTTAAAACGAAATGTTCCTATTATCAAGAGGATTCCTAAGAAGCAAGAATTTCCGTAGCTGATTCTTTACGTAAGGTAATTAATGATTGCGTGAGTAACAACTGGGAAAAACTTCTTTGTTTCGCATACAAAACTTTCTATATTACCTTTGATAATAATACAAAATCAAAAAAATCTTTAACAAGACAACAATAATTCCGATAATTTAAGGAAAAAAGTTATTAACAAAGTGTCTGATGGAGATTTATCTGCCGCCGTTAAACTTTTATGTTCAAATGATTCTATTGCTGATTTAGACAGTTTAACTCCCCGGGATTACAACTTAAACATCCTCGAGCTCACCCTGGTTTGTCGATGTTTGTCGGGAATATCTTTAGACGACTAGACTAGTTAAATTATAGCATGTTTTAATACTAAAGACAGGCTCGGTACGTATTTTATGGGGAGATCTTGGAGTTTCACCTTAATTCCGTTTACCCCATTTGGCGCTGGAACCATTACAATGACATTATTACGTCCTCTGCAATTTAGCTTTGGTTCACCTGGAGGATGCGAAGCTGTAGCCCATGCTGCAAGACATGTCACAGAACAGTTTGATCTTCCGTCTAAAGTTCTACTTAAGATTGATTTTAAAAACGCCTTTAACACGATCCTCAGGAATTTTCTTATGGAGAAAGTTAAAAATATAACATCCAAATTTATACTCATTTCTCTACCAATATTATGGTTATACATCATATACCTTTTTTATGGAAATGAAATATTTATATTTATATTTACACATGACACATTGTTACGTACGTTCTGTTCTTATACAAGTATATGGAATGTATTTTGTGACAAATAATAAATTTGATATGATGATATGATATGATATGAAATAATTCTTTCAGAGAGGGGAGTCCAACAAGGGGGTCCTCTAGGCCCTGCTCTATTCTGTATCGCTATTGATAATCTTACCAGATTAATCAATACTGAATTCAACTGCTGGTATCTTGACGATGGTTCGATAGGTGGTGACTTAGATTCTGTATTAAAAAGCTTTAATGATATCATTCACCTGTCCCATCAAATTGGCCTTTCTTATCAACTCCTCTTGTTAATGATATAATTAAATTTAATTCAATATCTCCTGACATTAAATTACCCGCAAGTTTACCAGTAAGTTTTCTGGGTACTTGCATGATGATAGCTTTAGAATCGCCATTAGTCTACGGCGTGGTTCATCAGTTTGTGTTCCTCATAACTGTATTTGCGGTACTTTAGTAAATGAAAAAGGGGCCCGTGGTTTGAGTTGTCGCAGAGATGATGACAAACGTCCAGACGACAGACGGTATGACCGTTGAATGAAATTTCATTCAACGATATGAGTATGACTTTAATTCCCTGTAAATTTGGCAAGCCAGCCGTACCTATGGGATTTTACTCGTACATGCACCGATACGCTTGCATCATCACATATCTTGGCTTCTTGCAAGTGTCCTGGATCCGCAGCCACATCGAGCGAAAATGCTAAAATAAATAAATATCGGAATATGACGAACTCATACCTTTTCTTCCCAGTGGCTGTAGAAACTTGAGGTGTATTTAGTGAACAATCTTATAAATTCATTAATAAAATCGGAAAAAGAATTTCCGATTCTTCAAACGATACCCGTGCAAGCAGTTTCCTTTTTCAACGAATTAATATTGCCATCCAAAGAGGAAATGCTGCTTCAATATTTGGCACTCTACCAACATATAAACATTGCAACGAAAGCTTTTATTTGCCGAATTCCAATCAATTCAAAATTCATTTGAAGTACACTTATTTAAAAATAATAATAAAATTTAATTTTATAAAAAGTAGGTAAACAGTCAATTGGGAAATTCTAGTGGTATAAAATGTTGGTAATAGCATAATATTATATACCTTATGGGCATGCATTCCCAGAAACCACGCTTATTGGGTACCACCAATAGGAAGAGTTTTAAATTCTACCTAACAATTTGCCGTACTTCGAAATACCGGGTGTCCGCCGGGAAGGTATACTACTTTGTTTTGCAGCCATTTTGATAAACATTACTCTTGACAGTTCATATCATATCATATATTTATTCGTTGTTGCTTTACCTTATAGTAGGTGGCAACACCATGTCCCTAATACATACAAACAATAAACTTAGCACAAATACTAAAATTACAAAAATGTATAACATATTAAAACAAACCGACACATTTAAAAAACACATTAAAAGATACATTCTAAAATTGTGACGAACATGCAATAAATATTTTAAAAGGTTTCAAATGTTTAAGTATTCATTTAGGTGATAGTACGCTTTTTCTACTAGAAATTGTTTTAATGCAAATATAAATTTTTGGTAGGTTTTAATGGCCTTAATATTTGGCGGTAGTGCATTAAAAATTTGACACGTTCGAAACGTTAAATTTTTTTGAAACAATGATGATCTGTGTTTGCCAGGGTTTAAGTACATCTTCTGTCGAGTGTTGTAAACATGTTCAGGATTTAAAAAAAACGATTTCTTTCTAAACCCTAAGCAACATATCTCCAGAATGTAGGTGTCTATTACCGTCAATATCCTTAATTCTTTGAAAATCGGTCTGCACGACGTATTGAAAGGTAAAGAGCATATAATTCTAATAGCGCGTTTTTGCAGAACAAGTATGCGCTGAACGTGAGTACTGCCACCCCAAGTACATATATTGTACCGAATATGAGAGTGAAAGTTGGCGTGGTACAAAGTCAGTAACGTTGATTTGTTGCATAGCTTCTTAAGAACGCTTAAAGAATAGCAACAGTTTCTAAGTGATTTGCAGACAGTGTCAATGTGAGCAAACCAACCCAAGTCAGAACTTACAGTAAGCCCAAGCATTTTGGTTGTCTTACAGCACTTGAATTCATTTAAATCATATTTTTTTATGCCAAACGGAATCACAGTAGTTTTGGCAGCGTTAAGTATGATATTATTGTTGCTGCACCATGTGCTTAATTTATCTAGCGTGAGCTTTATTTGCAATTTCAAAGACATTATACAACGTGATTTAATTAATATATTTGTGTCATCAGCATATGATGTAATAAATGTAGAATCGCCATCATCGCCCTCTTTCAGATACGAAACCAGGTCATTGCTGTAAAGAATAAATAGCGTCGGACCGAGAATTGAGCCTTGAGGAACTCCTGTTAAAATGGGCTTAGACAAACCACGCTGACCCTGAGGTAATTCAACGCATTGCGTTCTATCTCTAAGATAGGATTCAAACAAATTGAGAGTAGTACCTAGAATGCCGCATTGAAACATTTTGCTAATTAATTTCTTGTGGTCAACAGTATCAAAAGCAGCCGAAAAGTCAATAAATAAACCAACAGTTAAAAGACGCTTGTCAACTGCAGAAACCGCTTCTGCAATATATTGACATAAAGCTGTATCAGTCGATCTGCCTCTCATAAAGCCATGTTGAGAATCATTGATGATATTATTTTTTGTTAAATAATTGATAAGTTGATTATTAATTAGATTTTCGAGTACTTTAGAAAAACTAGAAAGCAGACTGATTGGTCTGTAGTTACATACATCACTTGTGTCACCTTTTTTTAACATTGGTTTCACAATTGCGGTTTTTAAACGACTTGGATAAACACCAGAGAGGAAGCATATTTGGCAGTCGTGAAGTAGAGACGTGGCAAATTTATTATGGAAAATTAAAATGGAATTACTGCGAGACTTCTTTCCACAACAACTTATTTCAAGAAATGGTGATGTTGATTGACCTCCACGGTCGCCTGATTTGACTGCTCCAGACTTCTTTTTGTGGGGATATCTGAAAAGCAAGGTTTATACAAACAAACCAGAAACGCTTGAGCAACTTAAACAAAATATTCGTGATGAAATTAATTAAACACCGCGTGAGAATGTAATGAAAAATGTGCTCAAAAGAGCTCGCATTTGTGAGGCTAACAGAGGCGGACATTTATCTGATATTGTATTCCATACATCATTGCCGACATTAAATAAAACATTTATCAATATAAGATCCATTCTCTTTCATTTAATCAAAAATTATAAACAAACAAAGTAGTATACCTTTCCAACGGACACCCTGTATCTTCATGTTGCAAGTAAACAAGCATAAATAAACTAAATCCAATAATATATCCATTTAAAAAAACATAGAGAAATGACAGGGGAACGCATAGTAGACATTAACATAATTAGGTTTTAACGATGTAATCAGGAATAACCATTAATCGGTTTTAAACACGAATTGGAAGTTTACAAAATTAACAAGCATTGCAACTCAGTGCTTATGCCGAATTTTATAGTTAACTCATTACAAATTTTGTCTTTCAGTTGGAGTAGTGTTGATTAAGTCTATGAAAGGCAATATATTCAAAACAATTTTCAAATTTAGTTGTGGTGTATTCTAGTATTTCACGTACCTACTGATTGCATTGCAGGTATTGCTAAGTGCAATAATCCCAATACAAACGTAAGTGGAAACTACTTTCTATTCAGTCTATTACCATTGAATAAAAGATTTTTGAATGGTAGTACGTGCTCGTGCAATCCACGTAGTAAATCTTTGGCGCCTAATTTTCACATATATTTTGTAAAAGACCGCATTTATGGTCCATCCTCAAGCGCGAAGATTTTTATAAAAAATTCCTTTTTTGACCACCGTGCGGTACGGGTTAAAAAGATTTTCTGTGAACTTTCAGCGCCCAGTAGAATTTACGAAAGCGTCAGCTGTATTTGGCATGAAACATATGTAAAAATAAAGATGTAAAGAATATCCTGAACTTCCAGATAAGCCATGTTAGTCATAATCACGGAAAGCAGAAAGACTTCACACTGCTACATTTACTGGAATAGTTAGTTGACGTGTAATTTTCATTAAACGCGATGTTTTCATAAAATATGTTTCGTCAATTTCCTTATTAAAAAAAACAGTTTGTCCGTGTTTTTGACAAAAATAGTGAGGAAATAATATCATTGAAATACAAGTAAATGTCAAGGGTAGTGTGAAGTTTTCCGGAAAATTTTAATTGTATACAATAAGACGACGGTTTTGCGAAAACTTTAATCGAAAATTGCACTTGATCTAACAATTTAATGAAATTTTAGCGCACAATTGGAATTTTGGGCAGGTAAGTGGTGCAATTGGCAGTGCAAGTTTATCGTTCTACTTACGTTTATCAGGCTCGCATTGTTTTTATGGTGATTACGATAATTACTGACATACTATAGTAATGCAAAGCTATTCTTTGAGAAAATTTTCAACATTTGTACCGCGCACCTTACCCATACCACAGACTTAAAAGAACATTATATCTGTGCCCATAATACTTCTAAGTTTAAGGACGGCGAACATAATTAAATTATAAACGTAATTCAATTTCAAAGTTAGTCATGTTATCTTAAACACATCGTGATCACGAGTACCTATATCAACAGTTTACGGTGTGAGTGTTCCAAATTAATTGTTGGAAGAATGCAAATAGGAGAGGACAAGTGACCGCTGAATTTTTAGAGTTATGAAAGTAGAAATCGAAATGAATAGGAGTACCTACTTGTAAAAAGAAGGAACATTGATAAGCAGTGAAATCTTATATAAGCACCAAATTTATTCGTACAAACGATAAAACTGACCGTTTTCCGGGAAATGGATGTTCTGCGAATAAACTGAACGTTTATCTGATGCTTGCGCAGGTAACGAGATTAAGTCCTTACAAACTTGCCACTTTTTTGTGGAACCAAAGATGAAGAACATGTATAGCGCACCCTCTTAATAATTATGCCTAAACGAAGTGGAAGAAATGAAGGCAAATTTGCGTTCTTCCATGTGCGGGTTTCCAAAAGTAGTTTTTTTTATAATATGCGATATTGCTTAATCTTATCGTACGTCACATTCGATGGGAGTCCCCTCGTATTACTTTCGTCATCACAGTTTTTGCACATAATACACATACATTTAAATTGTAATATAATGTAAAATGTACAATTTTTCCACAATGTTTTCAATAATTTTCAGCGGTTCAGCCACTATCTGCGGTTAATTAAGACGGTTCTCTAATCAAGGTTTAAGGATTAAGTTAGCCATTAGTATAGTTGATCGATCATTCTATGAAAATTATTGACAGTAAGCTGTATAAATACCCGCAACTTTGCGAGAACTACATAACCTTTTCTCATATTTAATTGTTTACCATTATGTACTATGTACTGGTTGTATGGTAAACAGGTAACAAGGACCGAAGATTAATTAAAGTCGTATGTAGCAACAATTTTCTTATAAAGGCATCAATTTTTTGTGAAAGTGGTTTGTGCTGTTTGAGACGTTCGCCTGTTTAAATTCGTATTATCCAATTAAATACACAATCAACTTCAAGAGGTACCTACTTCTATCAAAATACGTATTAATTGTTTCCGGCAGCTAATTTGGATTAACATGGTAACGTTTAAAAGTATATTAGTAAGAAATTACATTTTTCTTTTCAGTGGTGGATAGTCAGTGCTCTAACGTTCCTCCTGGGGACCATTTTAACAAAAAGCTGTTGTAAATGGCTCTACATCATCGCAAAAACTTATCGACGAGATCTTGCGTACGTAATTGATTTAATTTATACGAAAGCAATAAAGCAGGAGATTGCAGGGGTATCCGAATATTGCTAGGTGTTAAACGTATTTTAAAGGACATTCAGACAAATGATTTAACAATTCATAAACAATTTATGAAGGTTTTGGGAAAAACTCCAAATAAAGTGGCAATTTATTTTGAAAATGACACTTGGACTTACTCTCAGGTAACTACCGACCTTTAACTCTCTCATAAAATGTAATTTTATTGTAAAGACGCATGCAGTAGAAATGGAATGGCGTGAATTTTCCTTGATGCAAATGATGGCCCTCAAAAATGAGTCTTTGACCCCTACCGAAATTACACATTTACAAATTTAATATCGAATTTTAGCCATTGTGCATTACTATTATTTATATAACTGCTACTAACACATACCTGACCGTCGGTCGAACTTGAGATATAGATACATACAACAAAAATAATTACCATTAATTGCTGTGCCCAATCCTTAAGTTTGACTGTTCATAGGGCCATTATTAGCTTGGTCAGATTCCCTTCTCTCAAAAATCAACATAACTTGATGATTAATTTATTAAAATATGACACCGTAACATTTTTCAGATTAATACATTCTCAAATAAAATTGGACGTTTCTTTTCCGATGAAGGATACCAAAAAGGTGATGCCGTTGCCATATACTACGAAAATAGACCGGAATATGTGGGAATTTGGCTAGGACTATCTAAGATTGGATGCGTTGTCGCCTTAGTTAATACCAATTTACTAAACGACGCCCTCGTTCATTCCTTAAAGGTGGCGCAAGTAAAGGCGCTTATATTTGGTACAAGTTATGTGGATAGTAAGAATATATTGACTGAATTTAACGGTTTTTATACTACTTACATCATTCTATAGGGATTGAAGAAATCTCTCCACAACTTGGAAACATAAAAATTTTCCAATTCGACGACACTTTGCATGCAAAAGAAGTGATGCCCAACGCGATAAATTTAACGGAGAAGCTCAAGACCTGTGAAAGCGGAAACTTGGACATATTGCCCACATTAAGTCACAGTGACAAGCTGTTTTACATGTTTACATCTGGCACGACTGGGTTACCAAAAGCTGCAATTATTACACATGGAAGGTAATGCGAAATTCATACGAAAAGTTGATTAACGAATTACCGTTACAGATTTTCTGCTAATGTAAGTACATTGATGATGGAATGCACACCAGATGATGTCTTCTACGACCCGCTGCCGCTTTATCACTACACGCCTGCTATGGCAATCGGATTGAGTTTATTACATGGTTTGTCTTGTGTCATCAGGAAAAGTTTTTCGGCGTCGCTTTACTTTCAAGAGTGTGCAACATACAACTGCACAGTAAGTAACTAATTATCGCCTTTTTGAAATAGCAAATTATCATGTAGGCCGGTATGTACGTGGGAGAAATATGTCGATATATAGTAAACGCAGCGCCAAAAGAAACAGTTAACCATGGAGTTATAAAAATGTTCGGAAATGGATTACGAAAGGAAACATGGATTGAGTTGGTCAAAAAATTTAATATTAAACGTATATTTGAGTATTATGGCGCAACAGAAGGCAATGTAGTATTGGGTAAGTATGTGTAAACCTGGATTCTGTTACTAACTTTCCAATTTAGCAAATTTAGACAATCAAGCCGGTAGTATTGGTTTTATTCCACGGTACCTAGCAAAGTACTACAAGTTCCAAATCGTGAAATACGACGAAAAGGAAGAAAAGCCGATACGAGATGAGAATGGCAGATGTATACGATGCGATTGCAATGAGGTGGGATTAATAATCGGTAGAATCGAGCGGAATATACTGTCAAAATTTCGTGGTTACACAGACGAGGCTCAGACAAATAGTAAAATTTTGTGTGACGTTTTTAAACCAGGCGACAGATACTTTAATACAGGCGATCTAATGGAAATGGACGAACTCGGATACGTTTATTTCAAAGATAGAACGGGGGATACCTTTAGGTAGTAATTACTTGTGCCGTACACTCTGCTGACTGGTTTTTTAGGTGGAAGGCGGAGAACGTCTCAACAATGGAAGTTGAAGAAGTGTTCGGCAAACTATTAAATCATGCCGACGTAATCGTTTTTGGAGTGGAAATTCCAGGTAACGAGGGCAAGGCTGGAATGGCGGTTATATGTGATCCAGAACGTAACCGTGATATTAAAGCACTTAGTTATGGAGTAAATAAAAAATTAGCCGCGTACGCTGTTCCACTATTTCTGCGGGTGACTTCCGTTATCCCAACAACTGGAAATTTCAAAATGAAGAAGACAGATTTTCGACCAGAAGGCTTTAATGTGCATCACATTAGTGATCCTTTGTATTTTTTTGATAGTCGACTAAAGGAGTACGTACCTTTAACTAGTGAGTTGTATGAAGACATTATAAGTAATAAAGTGCGAGTGTAAATAAAATAGGGTAGACTGGAATATATCTGCTTCACTTGATGTACTTTTTTACCATAAGTTTAAACGTAACGTTTCGAAGATATTTTAATAAAACAGAAGTGTTTGTAGTCGTTAACAGTTCCTTTCCAGAAAATCCATCCCCCACCAAGCAAGTAATACAGTCCCTACTAGATTTACTCATAATTTCATTCATGTAGTAATTGATCTTTGAATAACGAACTTATTACTTTATTTTGTGCAAGGCTTAGAGACAACAACTCCATTGTCTTGCGCCAGTAAATAGGTTTGCTTTCATTAGCCTAAACATGCCAGTACTATTTCATAGTTTTGTTATTATCAGTGGAAGAACAACATCTTCAAAAATCAAAAGTTATTTATTAAATATAACATAAAACGTACATTAGAACATTCATCGAAAGTATATATATCTATCAACTTGAAGGCACATCTTGTATATAAAGGTGCGTTCACACGAATAGTAATGGCGCATTCATCCTGACATAATTAACTTCAAATAAAACTTTTTAGGTAATAATGAAAAACAATAAGCTATTAATAAAAATTGAAAGAGATAAACATAATATAGGTACTATTTTTCGGTAGGTACTTATGTTTATAATATGTTCCATTGCAGAGATGGAAAAGAAAAGTTACTTACTTTATAATCAATGGTGGTTAACATTTTAATGGTATTAACCATTAATTTAAACTTTAATTATTGTTTATGAAACATGGCAGAAATATAATATCATTTTAATACAAACAGATATATATTACTATAATATGGTGATGTTGTTTTGCACGCGGGCGCCTGGTTTCCATGTTCATTTCTCATATGTTCTATGATCTTGCCCCAGATTTAAGTTCCTCAATATTTCCACTATTTTCCTCCTCCATGGTTTTGGCGTTTCACCAACAATATTGATAAGTACTTAAATTAAGTTTTTAAGCCGAGATTGCCGTATAAAACTGAAATACATAATTTTATTTTAAAAATTAGCTTCGAGAATTGGCAATTGTGAAAACGCAAGGCTGTGATGTTTTTTCTCGGGATTGAAAGTGTAGGTACACTTTTTGTCCTCGACAGTATATTAAACTGCTATTATAGCATTATATGTAAAATAACAGGTTCAATGACGCCAAGACTTTATAATTACACGGATAAATTTAATGTAAATATTTCAGGTATAGAAAAGGGGACATATGGAATTTGGATCAACAGTGCAATTTTTGACTCTGAATTGTTGCATTCGTCAACGTTATGGCCTTCTAATTCTTCTTGACAACGTCTGCACGACGACAAATCGGTGCTGTAGAGTAGAGCGGATTTCTCAATGTTTTCCAATTTTGTTCAATCCTTAAATAAGAGCAGTACCCAGCATATCCGGTACGACATTCATAGCGAAAATTAACAACATATGCAATCCCAAAAATCTAACTTTCTTAGCCAAAGATGGTACCTGACTTGCTGCTTCTCCATGATTTCCTGCTGAGACTATGAGATGTAATGATGCACCTACATTTGATTACAGTGGCAATATATCCCAAGAAATCCTTCCCCTCGCCCTGTTCCATAGTTTTTCACTCACACTCTTGTCGACAATTTTCTGTGCTTGTTATGGTTGATTGAATACTCCCATACGATATTCGAGGCGTGTGAAGTTGGCCGGGAAATTTGTGATTTTTGTAATTGAAACATATGCACAATTAGGCGCTAATTATGCGCTATTTAGCGCCGATAGGATGAAATTTTGCACCCTAATAGAAATTGAGTTATCGCAAAAATTAAATTTACCGGGCCAACTTCACGGAGCCGCGGATTTTTTCACAAATTTGATTTTTATTATACAGGAATTATGCGCTAATTATGCGCCGTTTGGCGCCTTTGAAATGAAATTTTGGGCCTTATTACAAAATTAGCTATCGCAAAAATTAAATTGACCCGGCTAATTTCACGGAGCCGCGAATTTTATCAGAAGTCCGTTTTTATTGTACAGGAACTCGGCGCGAATTATGCGCCGTTCGGCGCCGTTAAAATGAAATTTTGCACTCTAATATAAAATGAGTTTTGGCAAGAATTTAAAGTAATATTCAGTGCAAACCTGAACAATTAGAATTCTGAATTATCAATTTTTTGATCTGATGGAATAAACGTGAGAAATATTTAGATAAAAATTTTTCGCTTTCTCCCAAAAACCAGGTATTACGGAAACAGTGGGTACAAAAATGCTACCAAAAAAATAAATTTGATACCAAAAGCTAAAAGATTTGTAGCTAAGCATTTTCAGCATGTTAACAACATGGCCTGACAAGGGAGTTTCTTGCTGGTACTCGGACGAAATCGCTTCACGCATTTCTAACATTTCTTCCAATATTTATAATTATCCAGAGTAGCCTTTGAGGTTAGAAAACAGACTTAACCTTTAGTGTTCGTTTTTCTGAAAATACGAAAGAACATCCTAAAACGAAACAAGTATAGAGCTTAGTAAAAAAACATTATTTCACGGCCTTGTTTCTATTTTTTATAACAATTTACATACCCTCAGTTTCAAAAGTGTTGTTATTCTCCATAACCACACATCGCAGCATGGAGACATATGTATGTTATTTTAACTTATATATGTACCTCTTCAAAGGACACAACTAATATCGAAAATATTCAAAATTGGACGAAATTAATTAAAATTTTCAAAAGCAGTGTCATGTCAAATTTAAAAATAGGACTGGAGTGACGTCACACACTGTACTCTGAGAACTGTTTTCCTATTGACCGAAAGTTACCATGCAACCTGATAAACCTTGCTCTAAAGCAGAAAGTGCACCATGAAATTCCACTTAGAACGAAAACCGTGAATTGAAAAAAATAAAATAAGTGATCTAATGACGTCACACTGACATAAGAGTTTCGTTTTTATTTTATAAAATTCCATGGCATCACAGATAATTGGTAAAAGTGCGGGTTCTAATTTTACGATTTTCCGTCTTTATAATGAATAAAATTAGAAACTAATACCATTAACTGGTGCAGAAAATTTTTCTCTACACAAAATCTTAATACATTATTGCTCTAAAATACTTTGTGGGGCCAATAATCGCATACTTATTACGAATTTTGCATTTAAATTCTTATGGTGCGTTGCGCAAGTCACCACTCTTTATAAGTAACTTACCGCTGCAAACCAGAAAAAGGGTCAATACAAATTTTCATAGGAATGACCATAATGGAAAAACCTTATTTACGGGACGCGCAAAGATTAGGGTGGATATGTTGTATGTTAAACAAGACGCCATGACGCTTGTGTGCAACTATAACTACAAGGTATACGTACCTATGTTTCAGAATTAAATATCATTGAAAACTGGAGAAATAAAAACGCCAGAAAGAAAAAATTGAAGAGAACCGCTTATGGAAGACCTTGTCTAGAAATCCAATTTGTGACAGACAACAAGAAAGTGGAAATCAGTTTAATCAGAAATGGAAACATTGTTAATCAAAGTCGTCCGCTTATAACGAACCACACACGTTACTTTTTAAGAAATACTTGCCCGTTAGATGCTTTTATACAAGCATTAGCAAGTGCATTGTGTGACAGTTCAAAATTAATAGCAGCTTATGAAAATTCCAATGAGGATTTAATAACTCTAGCAAAAAAAACCATTGCAAAAAAGTTGGGCAAAGATTTCTACTTAGGTACATAGGTTGCAATTAGCTCGAAATTTGTTTAACCAAACAAAGTTAATTGATGAAGAGGTGGTCATAGATTGTAATTGTAATGTTACATTCGTTATTGAGAGAACTAATCGTAGTTCGCAATTATGGAGCGCAACAGAAAGTAGAATATGTGGAAGTTGTGGCCAGACAAATGTGAATATTTTGCCTTTTATGTCAATAAACATGCATAATTTTAATTTAAAAGAAATTGAAAGAAATATAATTGCTAACATTTTCAAAACGACAAAATGTCAATGTCATGGCATCATGAAACACAGCTTAAAGTTATCTGCAAACTTATTCATTGATTTGAACGAAACACCGGCCCTAACTATATCGGATATTCCATCTACGATTACCTTAGAAAATGTGCAATACCAATTTAGAGCGGCCATAATGTTCTATCCTCCATCGGTTGATGCCGGGATCGGCCACTATTTTACTATTTGTAAGAGAACCGATGGGTCTTTCGAAAAGTACGACGATACCGAGAGGAAAGTGACGGTGGTAAAAAAAGATTTTTGTAACATTTGCCATTTGTTAATGTATAGTGTGTAACTACACGCAAAAATATAATAAAATTCAACAATACGATTTTTCTCAAGGCAATATGAACAATTTTATTTCATTCCTATATTTCGTATCCTGCATCATGTCATGAATTATTGAAAAAAGGTACTTTGCTTCTTTATCTAAATTCTAAATGTTTCTCACGTTTATTCCATCAGATCAAAAAATTGATAATTCAGAATTCTAATTGTTCAGGTTTGCACTGAATATTACTTTAAATTCTTGCCAAAACTCATTTTATATTAGAGTGCAAAATTTCATTTTCACGGCGCATAATTCGCGCCGAGTTCCTGTACAATAAAAACGGACTTCTGATAAAATTCGCGGCTCCGTGAAGTTAGCCGGGTTAATTTAATTTTTGCGATAGCTCATTTTGTAATAAGGCGCAAAATTGCATTTGGAATGAGCACAAGATGAAAACGTTAAATATTAGAAACTGAAGTAAGTATAAACCAGTTTAAACTGGTGCGTATTTTTTGTAGCCAGATAGCAAATAAATCGGATAGGAAAAACTCTTACGGAAAATATAGATTTCATTCTCGCTTTAGTACTTACTTCACTAAATTCGAAGACTAATCGTATAAGCCTGTTTTTTTGGAACATTTAACCTTCGACCTGGTATGTATTATCAACAATAATTGATTATGCTGAGTTGATGTTTATAAAAATTTCATATCACTTTTGTGATTAAAGGCTTATTGTTACTCTTTAAAGTAGGAGTCATTTACAGGAAAAAATGGTAAAGATGTTAAACATATTTTAAACTTCTAATTTTTTGTTATTTTAGTGGTGTTTAGTAGCTGTAATTTCACTGCTTTTGTTTATATTTAATTATGGGCGTTGGTCTCGTCTGCTAAATCGCTTGGGAAAAGAATTCAAGTAAGTGGGTGCCAATTACGAACCAATTCATGAGTCGATTGATTTTAGAACGTTAAGAGTTTACACCTTACTATTTTACACCGTCGCAACAAAATACAAACGCTCGGTGTGTGAAAATTTTGACCAACTTGTAGCAACTCACCCCCAGAAGGTTTTGTTTTATTTTCAAGATGAAATTTGGACAAGTTCGAAAGTGCGTTACCATGTTTGTTATCTTTCTGATACGCAGTTTCACTGCAGGTTAAAGAAGAGTCTAATAAGGTTTCCCTATATTTTGAAAGCAGAGGTTATCGTAGAGGAGATGTGGTTGCGATAATGCTAGATAATTGTCCAGAATACATATGCTTATGGTTAGGTTTGGCACAAATTGGAGTGGTTCCTGCCTTAATCAACACGAACATAGTCAAAGATGCTTTGGTCCATTCCCTGAGTGTTGCTAAATGTAGTGCTGTCATTTATGGATCAAATTATGGCCCAAGTAAGTTATGATGAAAATGCCCATGGTTCGAATTCGAGTTTGGACTCCCATATCAATTACAAATATTTATTTATGTTTAAATGGGCGAGGTTTCAGCCGAGTCTGCTCTATCAAATCCCATTACAAACCTTCCATGCTCGGATTCTGACTTTCTTTATGGAAGGCACTTGAAAGTCGATATCATCAGGTGTTACAAAAGTCGTTTTCTAGCCATTAACGATATTGCGAAACAATTCACTAACCTGGAAAAATATCAGTTACCTTGCAAAACCGCAGACGAAGGTCTTTCAGGTGAAATAGATCTGCGAACTGAGCTGAGAAACATCGATCCATATACATTCATCCAAAAACTAAAGTTCCGCAGAAATGATGTTCTAATGTTTATCTTTACATCCGGTACCACTGGGTTACCAAAAGCGGCACTGCTGTCGCACGCTAAGTTAGTAGTTTTAAATGAAACAATAATATAATCGATATCAATCCTTAGGTACAGTTTATTATCAAGCACTGCAATATTGCTGCCGCCAAATTCGGTAATTTATTGTCCAATGCCTCTTTACCACGCAAGTGGATCAGTGTTGGGCGTTGGTCAAGCACTTATATGGGGTAACACTGTTGTGCTTAGAAAAAAGTTTTCAGCTTCTAATTTTTGGAGCGACTGTATACAATATCGCTGTAATGTAAGTTTAATCATCCTTTTTTAATCTTTCGCGCATATCATTGAAAGTTGCCAAATAACGGAAAATACGGCAATTCCAAAAAGGCTCCGAGACCAGAACATTTGTACTTGAAGAAATAGCAATTGTTGTTCATATATTGGAACTGTCTAGCAGTTAATTCCTACCACATTCCCTAACGCATTGTAACTACGAAATAGTCGAAATAATTATAAATGTCCCATAGGTTGCGCAATATATTGGTGAGATGTGCAGGTATGTCTTATCAGCATCTGACGATAAAAAAATAAATCATCCAGTGAAAATAATGTATGGAAATGGCCTTAAACCGCACGTATGGAGACAGTTCAATTCAAAGTTTGGTATAGAACGCGTTTTGGAATTCTATGGTGCTACGGATTGCAACGGTAGTTTCGGTACGTTCGCCCGGTAGTGCCCTCGAGTTCCTTTTATTTACATATATAATATTCTAGTCAATTTGACTAACACCGTTGGCAGTGTAGGTTACTTACCATTACTGTTAAAGTTTCTTTGTCCAATGGTACCGGTTAAATTTGACAGAGAAACCGGTGAACCGTTAAGAGACAAGAATGGACGTTGCATTAAATGTCGCACAAGAGAGCCAGGTGTTCTTATAGTTAAAATTACCAACAAGTTTGGGTTACTTGATTACGAAGGCTACACCAATAAAGAAGATACCAACAAGAAGATAGTGAAAAATGCGTTTAAAATTGGTGATCGATACTGTAATACCGGCGATGTATTTGAGATAGATGAAGATGGAGACTATTACTTTATAGATAGAATAGGAGACACATTCAGGTATGAACTGAATTTTTTATCAACGTGAACAATTTTGTGTTTATAGATGGAAAGGAGAGAATGTTTCAACCTGTGAAGTTGAGGACGTTATTAATAATCTCATCCATTTAAATGATGCTACTGTGTTTGGTGTACAGGTATTGTTGACTTGGAGTTACATATCTCTTTATTTTTGAATGTAGATACCAAGCGCAGAAGGAAGGGCTGGTATGGCCGCCATTGTCAGTGATGACTTAGAACTTGATACGGATCACCTCTTAAAAGGTCTGAAAGAAAACCTACCTTCGTACGCAATACCTTTGTTTATACGAGTTATGAAATCGATTCCGGTAACATCCACTTTCAAACTAATGAAGGTTCAATTACGAACAGAAGGTTACAACGTAAACTTTGTAAAGGATAAAATATATTTCTATGACCAACGGTGCGACAAATATGTTCTCCTTTCTTTGGACTTATACGATGAAATTATGCGAAAGACACTTAAATTATAGGACGTTTGCAGCTATGAAGTTGTCATATTATACATGTTTTCAAGGAAAATAAATAAACCATAGAATGCCATTTAGTTGACATTTCATACATTCTCTAAATCGTTGTGAATATTGTTCACACAATCAGTTTGAGCGAAAGACTAAATATGGATAGGTTACTAACGATCTAGAAGCAATACGTGACTGCAATGTTAGCAAGGATTAAAATAATTCAATGAATACAAAAGACGTTTAGCACATTTTTGATATATTTTTATTTTATTTATTTATTTTATTCATTGTTGACTGTTCTTTTCTTATGGGAGAATCTATGCGCTATGTCACTAATCATGGCTAGTCAAATCAACTTATTGTACCCAAAACAAAATAAAACCTTCGTTTTCATGCCTACTTTATGTCAGGAAATTTTAGTTTCCCTGATCAGAATACAGTTCCTGTCGCCTGTGACTTTACCGGCCGTACCTATCACTTTACCTCCCGCTCTGTCACATCGGTAATGTCTATAATGACTCCTATCATCACCGTCAGATTAACATTAACCAAAAGGTCTATATTCAAATTTTACATTAAAATACGATTTCGGGTAAAATTTATTTAAAACTCGTCAGTAAAATGACACTACTACGTTACTCGAAAAATAAAATAAAAGGGCCCAAAGAGGCCTCGCCAGTAACGTGTTATTTTCGTGACTTTGTAACGATTTATTTTCTCCGTTACCAAGCATTATTACTTGCGGAAAGACCCCCGTAACTTTGAAACGATTTGATAGATGGCTTCATCTATTAACCATGCAATTTTGCCGCGACAATTGCCAGCGCATGACTTGTGGGTGTCGATTCTCTTCTTCCTCTTTCCTTCGTAAACCGGAGTGCCGACGCCCTTGTGTCACTTCCACATGCACATCTGCTGATAACAAGCGGCCATTTTGCTGGGGAAATAGCTCAGCGGGTGATGAAGGAGGTTTATGATATTTAATTTAAAAAAATATAGGATAATTCATCAATGTAATCACGAAAAAGAAATGCAAAAAATATGTAAAATAGGCAGTAAAATAGCACACAGGGTTTTCATGATTTTATGATTATTTGTTTGCGATAAATGAGTTTGACATGCCTGATGTAGCTACTATTATCTGTAAACAAACACTAACACCAGCAACATACGATAACCTTTGGGCTGTTACATTAAGTTGAAATAAGTGTTTATAGAAAGCGACATCATGGTGTGTGCAGTGGTAAGTAATGCCTTTGCCTTGAATGCAAAAAAAATGCCATTTTACTTTTAGGTACTATTTGTGGTCGTGGCCATTGCAGTTTTAATTATAACAAAACTATTAAAACCCAACGAACTTTGGCGACAAGGTGGCACAACAATAAGAACCATTAGCAAAGATCTAAGGTAAAGGTCCTAAATTTACCGTAATTCTTTGCTTGCTTTTATTTAATGATAGGATAGTTTTCCACTATGTATCGAGATCACTTCGATTCCACCCAAAACCAGTTTTCGTGACGCAAATAGTAATGGATATTGCACTTTTGTTTGCCGTTCCAAATTTTTTGTTCGAACCCTCATATTATGGTTCGAAAGATATTGCGGCCATTACTGCAGACAGAATTATAGATATAACAGGAACAACATACCAAAATATCTCTAATTATTCTCCTGAAACCCCCTTATGTCATTGATATTGCAGGATTGCATGGATCCTCTTAAGGATTAAGTTACTTCACCGTAAGCTGTGTAGAGACAACGTGGCGGTTTACACCAAATTTTGCAAAATTGCAAGGAAGTATCCGCAAAAAACTGCATTTATTTACGAGAGCGAAACGTGGACCTTTTCAGATGTAACAACTCCGATCGTGTGCACCTACGAGGACTGCATTAAATAGTTTTGTAGGCACTAAACCTTTCCAACAAAGTTGCAAATTATTTCAAGGCACGAGGATACGTAAAGGGCCATTGCGTGGCTTTAATGTTAGAAAACTGTCCGGATTACCCTTGCATATGGATGGGAATATCCAAACTGGGGGTAACGATATCACTAATTAATATAAACTTAGTTAAGCATTCTTTGGCACAGTGTATTAGAGCTGCCAATTGCAGAGGATTGATATTTGATTCAAATTTATGTAACGGTAAGCTACGAAGAGTTACGAGAAACTATTGCACTTTTGTTGCTTTAGCTATTGAAGATGTAGCGGGTGAGTTTGCCCAATTGGATCTATTCGAATACGATCGCAATAACGCTAGAAATGTTAAATATATTAATCTTAAACGTGAAATTAACAACTTCTCGACAGAAGATACTTCAGGATTCCCTAAAATTACAGGGCACGATACTTTGTTGTACATTTACACTTCGGGTACGACCGGATTTCCCAAACCCGTAGTTATTTCAAATACTAGGTTAGTATCGTTAACTTCAGCCAGCACTACCACTTACTAACACTTTATTGCACAGATTCTTAACATTCGCGTGTTTTGCAAACGTTGTAATGCCGAAAATGACAGACGTTATAGCGTATTGTCCCATGCCTCTCTATCATTCCTCGGGATGTGGAATCATGGCTCTAACGGTAGCAGGTGGTGCAACCCTTGTATTGAAAAGAAAGTTTTCTGCCAAAAACTATTGGAGTGACTGCTCCAAGTTTCAATGCAACGTGAGATAATGCAAACCACCATGTCTCCACGTAACAGCAGTTTTTAGTTAGCAGTATACATTGGTGAAATGTGTCGATATATATTATCCGTACCGCAGAATGACGTTATCAAGCATAATGTAAAAAACATCCTCGGAACTGGCTTACAACGTCATATATGGAAAACGTACATTGAGAAATTCCAAATTGAAAATGTGTACGAGTTTTATGGATCAACCGAAGGAAATGTTCAAATCGGTGGGTAGACTCACATCAACATTACGTACAATAGGTATATTATTGCTTGTAGTTAATCTCGATAATAAGGTAGGAAGCGTTGGTTACATTCCAAACTTCCTGAAAAGCCTCATGGGAATATTTCTCATAAAATACGATCCGAATACCGGAGAACCCATTCGGGATAATAATGGCAGATGTATTAAGTGTAGTCCAAATGAGCCTGGCCTGGTAATTGGAAAAATTAGATCAAAAGTGGCAGTGGATGGCTTTGCGCGCTATTTAGATATAGATGCTAGTGAGAAAAAAATACTTTGGGATGTCTTTGTCATTGGTGACAAATATTTTATTGTGGGAGATGTGCTGGTTTGCGACGAGTTGGGTTACTTTTACTTTCAAGATCGAATAGGTGATACCTTTCGGTAAATATGAGTAAGAGGTAAAATATTTTATTGTCATGAGAAATTCAGATGGAAAGGGGAGAACGTTTCCACAGCTGAAGTCGAGGACATAATATGGAAAACCACAAAATTAAATCAAGTTAATGTGTACGGGGTTGAGGTAATAGATAAGTTTAATTTATTGTTTATGTACCATTTGCATTTAGATACCCGGAGCTGAAGGACGGATAGGTATGGCAGCTATACTAGGCAATGACGATAAGTCACAGCTAAACGTCTTGGCAAAGGAATTCAAATCAAATCTTCCATCATACGCAATACCTGCCTTTATAAGGGTTCTAGAGTCTTTTCCGATAACAGGAACGTATAAATTAAAGAAACTGGAACTACAGAAAGAGGGATTCAATATCAATGTGATTAAGGACAAAGTTTACATTTTGAGTTCGGGGAAATATATTCCATTGACCAAAGAAATTTACAATGACGTGATAAATCATAGATTAAGATTATGATTTTGCAATGGCTATAGCTCAATGATAACAGCCGTTAAATACTTATAATATGCGATCAAAAATGAGTTGCTGTCGAGTCACCTTTGGAATTTTTGTTTACATCGGAAATCGTACTTAACTTGAACTTCCAAAGGCGACTCCACAGCAACTCATTTTTAATCGCCCGTTACATATGTTTATATGATATTTATTTTTTAAGGCATTTTAAAATGATATACATACAATGTAGTTAATAGATGAGTTGATTGTTCATTGTTAATTGGGAACATCTGGTTTCTTTATCTTGATCATACTAGTGTGTGGTGATATCTTCATTAGTTGCCATTAGTACCTCTTCCGTTTTGACAGATGAGTTTTTGTACGTGGCTTGCTGCGACCTTTCTTTCAAAAATGTAGCGTATATTGCTTCAAAAATAACTTTGAAGATTAAAAACATTTTTCCCAACATTTAAGTAATTTTAATGTGATAATCAAACGTAATTAAATTTATTTAGTAATTTAAACATGAATACATTTTGATATTGTCTGTAGGTATTGAAGAACCCGAATGCAGTATTGAATTCATATACAGCGTGTCCCACCATAGGGAAACGGCAATGTATTTTTTCGCGAAGGATCCACGAAGCCTTTGAAATCGTTCAGCGCACTATTCCAATCTCTGTATAACATCAGGCAAGCGCAATAGCGTACGTTGAACGCTAACTTCCAAGATATATCAAAGGGGTATGTATCATAGATCGTTCGCGAAAAAATACATTAATTCTGTTTGCCTATGGCGCGTTCAACCTGGGACACATCGTATATACAATAGAAAACACCATTCATGAATACTAGTCACTACAAGACAGAGAAAAAATAAGCGTTCTAATGACGTATCACATGACCCGTGTCGCCATTAAAAAAATTCAAGATGGCGGTCGAACTCAAAAATCGTGTGCCAAAAAAAGTTTTTTAGTCTTAAAGTCTCGCTTAAAATATATGAAATGATTTCAAATGGAAGTGTTTTAATTTTCATGTCTATGTTTCAAATGGTTTGAGCGTGTGAGCATTGGTTCCATCTTTAATAGCGACCCTGTATAGAGAGAGAGAGAGAGAGAGATCGTTTATTGAACCACTTTTGTGGTATACCATTGGAACAATTACAACTTCATATAAATGTATAAAGATAAAATGTAAATAGACTATAATATAGATCAAACAAACAACAACATAACAATATTAAATGTAAAGATAAATTTTAAATAGACTATGATATAAATTAAACAAACAACAACATAACAATATTAAATGTATATAAAAATTTCGATAAAAAAGTACAGTTAATAAATTGCGATATTTGTGAAGAAGTCTTCCAGTGAATATGGTGCCATTGTGTTAAGTATTTTCCGAATTTTATTTTTAAATGGGACGAATGCCGATATAGATTTGATATTTCTAGGGAGAGCATTGTAAAATCGTAGACCCATTTGTAGATGTGATGTGTCATACACTTTACTTTTGGAGGCGGTTATTGCAAAATTATTTTTTGATCTTGTATTATATTTGTGGTAATCGGAATTAAAGGAGAATAATGCCTTATTTTTAAAAACATAACACAAAGATTCAATAATATACAAACTATACAGAGTAGGAATGCGGAACTGTTGAAAGTACGGCTTACAGGTTTCCATTCGCTGTAGCGAGAATATTGTCCGAAGCGCCCGTTTTTGAGTTTTGAAAATGTCGCTAATTAAATTTTTATTGGTATTTCCCCACAGTAGGATTCCGTATCTCATTTTCGCTTCAAAAAGAGCATAGTACACTTTGATTAGCGTATCTTTATTGCAGAACTGTCTACAGCGTGAGAGCGCAAAAATTGATTGGTGTAATTTTGATTGTAGTTGTTCAATGTGTTCCTTCCAGTTGAGATTTCGGTCTAATATAACTCCGAGAAAGTTACAGGAATTACTTGTTTCGATTATTGTCGATTCGTAGGATATGTTTGAAATAACAGAAGTTGAATTTTTCTTATAGACAAGTACATTAGTTTTCTCAACGTTAATTAAAAGTTTGTTTGCATTAAACCAGTTGATTAGTTGTGCCAAAGATTTGTTTAAGGTGAATTTTAAGTCGTTTTGACTGCAGGCAATAGTTACACTAGTATCATCTGCATAAGTACAAATGTGACACGTATCTATTAAATTATTTGGCAAATCATTCATGTATATGATAAATAAAATAGGACCGAGAATGGAGCCTTGTGGCACACCATAATTCACAGGTCGTACTTGTGACTTTACTTCAACTATTTGTCCCGAACTATAGACTTTGTCAATTACAACATATTGATATCTGTCACTAACAAACGATTTTAATAAATTTAACGGTACGCCTCTAATTCCGTGCGCACGGAGTTTTGACAGCAGTAATTCCGGATCTACCAAGTCAAAAGCCTTGGAGAGATCGCAATTTATCGATGCTACAATTTTACCCTTGTTATGGAAATTGTAAACAAACTTTAGCATGCTTTGTAGTGCCGTGTTCGTCGATTTTCCAGCTCTGTACCCGTGTTGAGAATTATTAAATAAATGGTGAGATTCGAAGTACGAAATCAATCTGTTCTTTAATAGTGATTCGACTATTTTTGACAAGGTGTTAAGTATCGATATCGGTCTGTAATTACATACATCCTTTTTTGTTTTACTTTTATGCAATGGTTTGATTTTCGCAATTTTACCGTGTTTTGGAAACTCCCCTGTCGTAAAAATTAAATTTATTAAGTAAATCAGGGGTTTCTGCATGTAATGTAGCGCTTCTTTATAAAAACTAATTGGTATATTGTCTTCACCGCATGCATTAGTATTGTTCAAATCATGTACTACGTTATATAATTCATTGATTGTAACGGGAAATAGAAAAAAAGAATGTTGTGGGGTTGGTATTACTTTAGGGATTTCGTAAGATGTTGGAATTTTATTTATATTTTTCTCAGCTATAGAAACAAAGTAGTCATTGAAAACATTAGCGATTTCTACAGGCGTAGCTATATCTTTGCCATCGTGACTTAAAGAAATAATGTTTGGTGTCGAGGCTAGTCTGTTTAAATTTTGATTTATTAATTGCCAAGTAGTTTTTATTTTATTTTTAGATTTCATTATTATTCTGTAAGAGTGCATCCTTTTGGCGTTAATAATTAATTTTTTAAACACTTTGGTATATCGTCTATAGTGTGCAATTAAATTCGGTTCCTGAGTTTTCCTCACATTAATATAGAGCCTACGCTTTATTTTGCTCGATGTACAAATTCCCTTAGTTACCCAGCTTTTTTTATTCTCGGTATTGTAACGCTTTCTAAGGGGGAAACACCTCTCAAAGATGGGTTTAATGAGATTAAAAAATGTTGATACGAAATTATCCACATTTTTTTCGCTATACAACGAATTCCAATTGACACGTTCTAAGTTGTTAGTGAGTGAATTAATATTTTTTTTAGTAATATGAGGCCTTAATCTAAATAATCTTCGACTCTTTTTACATTTTTTGAATAATATTATTTGCATGTTGTGATCAGAAAAATCAATAGGTAAATTAAAAATATGATACATGTTATCTTGAAAATTGGTGACAATATTATCGATACAGGTACTTGTAGTTGCTGTTATTCTAGTTGGAGTTGTAATGGTTGGGTGTAAGTCGTATGTTCGAAACAGATTAAGCATTTTTTTCAACAAGCAAGAATCATGTAAAAAATTGATGTTAAAGTCACCACACAAAATTAGTCTATGATTTTGTACAATTTCCAACGCTTTCTCAATGTTTTCGATAAAGATACTATTGTCCCGATCAGGTCTATACATTGAAATTACTGTTACAGAGTGATCCAGTAGTCTTATACCGCATATTTCAAAATGCATTTCGACCGATAGATCTCTTATTCCCGCAATTACTTCGAACTGAATGTCCTTCTTTACAAATATCACAGTTCCACCATGTCCATTGGAAACTCGAGCAAAATACGTCGCTATTACATACTCGTCATTATGAATCGATACTTGCAGTAGTTCGTTCTCTCTCAGCCAATGTTCGTCAATACATAAGATATCAAAAAAAGAATATTCATTTAACAGCAGCCAAAGATTGTCAGTTTTATGTTTCAAACTTTGAACATTTAAGTGCATGACTGAGAGAGAACCTCTGTTCAAGTTCTTGTATTTACAAAGCGACTTGTCTGAAAAGAATGTTTAAGTATGCCATTGTCCTCAGAGGCGGTACTATGATATTCAGAAGTTTTTGGTTCATTATGTGGGGTAATATAAATTAAGTTCCTATTGAAATGAGTGACATGTGACACAAAACTATCTTTATGGATTAAAAAATATTTCACAATATATTTCATCAGAGCAAATTTGTCTTTGTTACTTAGATGAATTCCTTTGTAATTACTTGCACGCTGCCCTATAATGCAATTCACATCAACAATATTGACGTGGTCAAAACTATCGCTATAAGAACAAAGCTGATAATTAATCTGATGTGCATAGTGATTAAACGAGTCTTTGGTACAATAAGGTACCGTCGATACAATACAGTTAGTCTGTGATAACGATGAAAACGTCTTTTTCAATACACTAGTACTAATGTGTTTATGTTTGAGAGCATTATTTGTTCCGGCCAACAGAATTACAGTATCCTGTTTATTATAGTTAGTGGCTAGGCCGGCGCAATTTAACACTACATCTTCAAAACGAGCATTCGGCTTAAAGATGCATGATACTGAAAAATCGTTTGTAGGTAGCAAATTTTGAAGCTTTAACGCAAAGTCTCGGTGTATATCAAGATACATAGCAAGGGCAAACGGATTACTCGGGTTTCAATTGCTCGCTTTCACACGTTACTAAGAAAATAGGATTGGCTGCATATGTAGGTACTCCTGTAAAAATTTGAAGAAAAAAAATATCTATCAAATGAGCCTAATGAAAAGGTGCACTGCCATTACAAAAAAAAACAATTGTTTTTCGTTGTTTTTCTGAAATAAAAACAACTAAATGCTGACTTATCATATGAAATAAAATGTTAAACAACTTTCATATAGCAAAATTTTTTATACATTGATATTTACCGAGATATATACTATATGCCATACATAATGGGCACCCTGTATATAAGTATTTAAAACAGTTATCTCTTCATTTATTCGAATATTGTATGCTAGACTGGTTAAATCGTCATATATTGTGTCATAACATCATCTCTGGTAAACAACACGGATTTTGTACCCGTAAATCAACCCTAACAGCAATTACCTCCTTTGTCAACATCATTTCCTCATTAAACAAAAACCACAAAGTAAGTTGCTATGCTTTTACGTTATGTAATTACATACTAATTGTCTGTTAATCAAGTGTCATGATAACATTTAAACCCTGAGTTCGGTTATTTATAACTAATGAGTTGAGCCTGCCCTAGAGATGGGTGAATGAAAGAGTTGGGGTTCCGCTTAGTCGGAACATAAGGGCGCAGGCAATTCCGGTCTCAAGTTACCCAGAGATGCCCTACGGTGTGTTCTCGTTGTAACCCCTCCCCTCCAGTAATCGTTTTTTTAAAAAGGCCCCACAAAAATGTTTCGCTCCAGGCTTCACATTTTCTAAGGACGAATCTAGGCGCATCGACGCATCATACACAAGATCATTTTGATACAGTGAAGCATTGATGCTCGCTTGTCCATTTACACTCTCGATTTCCTGCATCCATCGCGTGAACTACAACCATTCCTGTTGTGCAAAGTGATGTGTTCAGTAATTCATATGGAGCTGGTGGTAATATTTATTTTATTTTATTTTATCCCTCTCTTGTTTTGGGCCCTCAACAGGCATGCGCCCAATTACAGAGTGACCCGCATAATGCTATTTAGAGGTGCCTCTGCAGAAGGTCTTAAGTTGGTCTATACTACTCCGGTATTTACCTTACGAATTAGGAAAACTGCAGGAAAACCTAATTCGGAGTAGCCGGTAGAATGCTCGGAACTGGTCTAAGGTAATTTCCATCTCCGCCACAGATGAAAAATTCACCTCAACCCAGGTTCGAACACCCGACCTTCAGATTTATAACCCAATGCTCTACCACTGAGCCATAAATCCGATTGTCGTTATTTGGTTCCAAAATTGTGTTTCACAGCATCTATATACATTTCTGGGACTCTAAATCATTTCCTAGCCTCGTTTATCGCAATGTACACGTGTGGCGCTGCACTTGTGAGTGGAAGATTCGATAACATATGGAAACTTTTTTATTATTGTTTGTACGCAAAAATTCTGTATAAAAAGAACTGCATGGCCTGAAAAAGATAAAAGTATTTTACTCTTGAGCAAAATTCATATTATTTCACATACCATGTATACGATTGAAAAAAAATAAAAATTTACCTGGTAGATGGCGCGTGGTTATAAACAATCTTGTGTTTATACGTGATCCGATGAATAAAGAAAGGTATTACCAGGTATTGCGAATGTGGCAGCACCGCGGAAAGCCGTCTAATAATAGCGCCGCGCGTGGCCGTGCCCTTCTTGGCACAAATCGTTTTGTTGGATGATATAATGGAAACAAGATATAATAATAATAATAATAATGTTTATTTTACTGCAACAACGTTGCCGCACAAGATGTACAACAATAGTAGGCAGTAATTGTCATGCATAAAAACAATAATACACACCAAAGTACATAATAAAAACCATGATGTGTTTTGGGTTGACCTATATAACTCAATGCTCAAAATATTCTTTTAGGTTGTAAAAATTTTGGTTTAGTAAGTATGTTTTGAGTTCTTTTTTGAACTTGCGAATGTCGTTTAGAGTTTGTATGTAATTTGGGAGGACATTGAAAATCTTACAGCTTAAATAGTTTAAGTTATTTTGAAAAAGTGCTGTTCTATGCCGACCAGGATTTAGTACTAACTTGTTACGTGTATTATAGGCATGTGTTAATTTAATAAACTGTTTTTTATTTTTGAAGGCGTATAAACATGTTTCCAGGATGTAAAGGTCAATGACTGTCAAGATTTTTAATTTTTTGAAGTAAGTTTTACACGACGTTGTTAATGTAAGTTGACACATTATTCTTACTGCACGTTTTTGTAATTTAAGGATTCGTTCCACATGCGCACTGGCACCCCAGATACCAATGTTGTAGCTTATGATAGCGTGAAAGTTTGCGTGGTATAAAGTTAAAAGCGTATTTTGATTGCACAAACGTTTAAAAAAGTGTAACGCGTAACAGCATTTCCGAAGCTTAATGCACAGGTTGTCTATACAGGGTGATTCCTATAGTACCTGCCACCGTTTGGGAGCGTGTAGGTGGTGCGTAGGGGAGTATTTTGATATAGGACACTTGGGGTCGGAAATCTAAAATAAGGGTGCCAGAGCGAAATTTACCTTCTGGAATTTCGCGCCTGTAGGTAGGCAACCCAACCGGCCGGCGGTGCACACGGAGCGATCTCAGGCGGCGATGTGTGGCTGACACATGATCAGAATTTTGTTTAAACCCACGAAATCCCGTCTGCAACGACGCGTATCAAGTGAATAAACACTATGGCAATAGTATAATAATAGTTGGCTAGATGTAGGAAGTGCATTGAGAACAACGGTGGCCACGTTGAACACTTGTAAACGTTATTGCTTTTGACTGTCGTTTTCCCTCCTTCCCTCCCATGTCGCTTCCTCGCGCTAACTCGCTCTGCATCGCTCCGCGCGAAACGTCGTTCGGTTGGGTTGCCTACATACAGGCGTGAAATTCCAGAAGATAAATTTGGTTCTGGCGCCCTTATTTTAGATTTCCGACCCCAAGTGTCCTATATCAAAATACTCCCCTAAGCACCCCCTATACGCTCCCAAACGGTGGCAGGTACTAATAGGAATCACCCTGTATGTTCTGACCATGATAGATCTCTTGTTATTGTTACTCCTAGCATCTTTGTAGAGGTGGAGCATGGAATACCGAGGGCATTTTCGATTTTGCAGGTATTGCGCTTACTTCTAAAGTGTATTACTGAAGTTTTCTCAGTATTTATAATTAAGTTGTTATTTTTACCCCATTGATTTAATTTGTCAAATATTAATTGAGCTTTCAATAGAAGATCGTTAGTAGTGTTTGATTTTATTAGAATATTGGTGTCGTCAGCATAACAGGTTATAAACACACTATTGTCAGTTGAATGTAACAAGTAAGGTGCTAAGTCATTAGCGAAAATGATAAACAACGTGGGCCCAAGAATAGATCCTTGAGGGATTCCAGTTGACATGAACGATCGGCTACTGCAGTGACCCTGTGGTAATTTAACAAACTGGGATCTATTCGATAGATAAGACTCAAATAGTCTTAGTGGTGTGCCGCGTATGCCGTAACGGTTCATCATTTTGTTCAACAGAAACTCATGACTAACAGTGTCGAAAGCAGATGAAAAGTGCTAGATTGCCGTTCTAAATTCGTCCAGTCCACGCATAACGTCACGCGGAACTTAAAATTTGAATTTAAAACGGGATTCTTATGGGATCTGTTTCTTAATTCTACTGCAAATTCTAAAACCTCTAAAAAGCATTATGCGGGTCACTCTGTAATTGGGCGCAAGCCTGTTGAGGGCTCAGAACAAGAGAGGGATAATAAATAAATAAAATAAAAACAAATAAAATCCTCAATAACTTTACTCTCCGAATAATTACATAGATAGGACTGTTGATACAAACGTTGTCACGGCACTTATTTGCCGAATAAATTTATCGGGATAGAAGAACTAGCCCTAAGAGGAAAAGTAAGTTGAAATTATTGTATGATGATTTTGTTAGGCTTTCGGACCGCGTTATCATTCTCGGTACGGTAGTTTCGAATTCCACTGCTTAGCTATGAATCGATCTTTCGTGCAAACCAAATAAATGTGTGTTGGTGGCGGAAATTTGGAACATCATGGGAAATTACTTAAAAAATAGTAAACATTCACAAAATCGACATAAGACTCTGAGCGCAAAACGAAAAGCTGAAAAATTAGATTACTTGCAATGTAAGGTTATAGGGACAAATATCCGACAGGACATATATTCAGTGCTTCTAAAAAAAAAGCGCATGCTACTCGGACGCGCTTATTCTGCAACGAGTTCTGGAACACTGTTTGTGTGACAAAGATGAATATACGCTGGTAGATGTAAGATTACACTGCAATGAGAATTGTGGTAAAGGGACCTTTTTTTTTACGCATGAAGAAGTCACGTGGTCTCCAATCTTCTGCGAAAAATTAATTTACCTACAACCGGAGGCAACAGATGCAACCTTAATAAATCTAACGCGTATTATGTCCTCTGTATGCTCTTCTTACTGTTATCTTATAGGACAGCATAGGTCAATTTCTTTGTAGGAAAAAGGCATATTTCTGTAAAATTGGCTACGATAAACTATTCAAATATTAATCTTTCACTATTGCTTAATAATTGGCAGAGAATTCCGACTTTTCAACGAAAACTCACTTTTCGTCCTTGATGGTAAACAATGCAGGTACTATTATCTGTAAATAAATACTAACACCAGCAACATAGGATAACCTTTGGGCTGTTACATTAGGTTGAAATAAGTGTTTAGTAGAAAGCAGAATCATGGTGTGTGCAGTGGTAAGTACCGATTGCCCATTTCTTTGCTTTGAATGCAAAAAAAATTCATTTTACTTTTAGGTACTATTTGTGGTCGTGGCCATTGCAGTTTTAATTATAACAAAACTATTAAAACCCAACGAACTTTGGCGACAAGGTGGCGCAACAATAAGAACCATTAGCAAAGATCTAAGGTAAAGGTCCTAAATTTACCGCAAATCTTTGCTTGCTTTTATTTATTCATAGGTTAGTCTTCCACCATGTATCGAGATCACTTCAATTCCACCCAAAACCAGTTTTCGTGATGCAACGTTTACCCTGAAAATAGTAACGGTTATTCCACTTTTGTTTGCCGTTCCAAATGTTTTGCTCCGATCAACCCTCATATTATGGTTCGAAAGATATTGCTGCCATTACTGCAGACAGAATTATAGATATAACAAGAACAACACATCAAAATATCTCTAATTCCTCCTGAAACCCCCTTATGTCGTTGATATTGCAGGATTGCATGGATCCTCTTAAGGATTAAGTTACTTCACCGTAAGCTGTGTAGAGACAACGTGGCGGTTTACACCAAATTTTGTCAAATTGCTAGGAAGTATCCGCAAAAAACTGCATTTATTTACGAGAGCGAAACGTGGACCTTTTCAGATGTAACAACTCCGATGGTATGCACCTACGAGGACTGCATTAAATAGTTTTATAGGCACTAAACCTTTCCAACAAAGCTGCAAATTATTTCAAGGCACGAGGATACGTAAAGAGCCATTGCGTGGCTTTAATGTTAGAAAACTGCCCGGATTACCCTTGCATATGGATGGGAATATCCAAACTGGGGGTAACGATATCACTAATTAATATAAACTTAGTTAAGCATTCTTTGGCACAGTGTATTAGAGCTGCCAATTGCAGAGGATTGATATTTGATTCAAATTTATGTAACGGTAAGCTACGAAGAGTTATGAGAAACTATTGCACTTTTGTTGCTTTAGCTATTGAAGATGTAGCGGGTGAGTTTGCCCAATTGGATCTATTCGAATACGATCGCAATAACGCTAGAAATGTTAAATATATTAATCTTAAACGTGAAATTAACAACTTCTCGACAGAAGATACTTCAGGGANTACTATTATCTGTAAACAAACACTAACACCAGCAACATACGATAACCTTTGGGCTGTTACATTAAGTTGAAATAAGTGTTTATAGAAAGCGGCATCATGGTGTGTGCAGTGGTAAGTAATGCCTTTGCCTTGAATGCAAAAAAAATGCCATTTTACTTTTAGGTACTATTTGTGGTCGTGGCCATTGCAGTTTTAATTATAACAAAACTATTAAAACCCAACGAACTTTGGCGACAAGGTGGCACAACAATAAGAACCATTAGCAAAGATCTAAGGTAAAGGTCCTAAATTTACCATAATTCTTTGCTTGCTTTTATTTAATGATAGGATAGTTTTCCACTATGTATCGAGATCACTTCGATTCCACCCAAAACCAGTTTTCGTGACGCAAATAGTAATGGATATTGCACTTTTGTTTGCCGTTCCAAATTTTTTGTTCGAACCCTCATATTATGGTTCGAAAGATATTGCGGCCATTACTGCAGACAGAATTATAGATATAACAGGAACAACATACCAAAATATCTCTAATTATCCTCCTGAAACCCCCTTATGTCATTGATATTGCAGGATTGCATGGATCCTCTTAAGGATTAAGTTACTTCACCGTAAGCTGTGTAGAGACAACGTGGCGGTTTACACCAAATTTTGCAAAATTGCAAGGAAGTATCCGCAAAAAACTGCATTTATTTACGAGAGCGAAACGTGGACCTTTTCAGATGTAACAACTCCGATCGTGTGCACCTACGAGGACTGCATTAAATAGTTTTGTAGGCACTAAACCTTTCCAACAAAGTTGCAAATTATTTCAAGGCACGAGGATACGTAAAGGGCCATTGCGTGGCTTTAATGTTAGAAAACTGTCCGGATTACCCTTGCATATGGATGGGAATATCCAAACTGGGGGTAACGATATCACTAATTAATATAAACTTAGTTAAGCATTCTTTGGCACAGTGTATTAGAGCTGCCAATTGCAGAGGATTGATATTTGATTCAAATTTATGTAACGGTAAGCTACGAAGAGTTATGAGAAACTATTGCACTTTTGTTGCTTTAGCTATTGAAGATGTAGCGGGTGAGTTTGCCCAATTGGATCTATTCGAATACGATCGCAATACCGCTAGAAATGTTAAATATATTAATCTTAAACGTGAAATTAACAACTTCTCGACAGAAGATACTTCAGGATTCCCTAAAATTACAGGGCACGATACTTTGATGTAGATTTACACTTCGGGTACGACCGGAGTTCCCAAACCCGTGGTTATTTCAAATACTAGGTTAGTATCGTTAACTTCAGCACCACCACTTACTTAACACTTTACTGCACAGATTCTTAACATTCGCGTGTTTTGTAAACGTTGTAATTCCGAAAATGACAGACGTTATAGCGTATTGTCCCATGCCTCTCTATCATTCCTCGGGATGTGGAAGCATGGCTCTAACGGTAGCAGGTGGTGCAACCCTTGTATTGAAAAGAAAGTTTTCTGCCAAAAACTATTGGAGTGACTGCTCCAACTTTCAATGCAACGTGAGATAAGTCAAACCACTTTTTCTTCATGTAACAACAGTTTTTAGTTAGCTATATACATTGGTGAAATGTGTCGATATATATTATCCGTACCGCAGAATGACGTTATCAAGCATAATGTAAAATACATCGTCGGAACTGGTTTACAACGTCATATATGGAAAACGTACATTGAGAAATTCCAAATTAAAAACGTCTACGAGTTTTATGGATCAACTGAAGGAAATGTTCAACTCGGTGGGTAGACTCACGTCAACATTACGTACATAGGTATATTGCTTGTAGTTAATCTTGATAATAAGGTAGGAAGCGTTGGTTACATTCCTAACTTCTTGAAAAGCCTCATGGGAATATTTCTCATAAAATACGATCCGAATACCGGAGAACCCATACGGGATAATAATGGCAGATGTATTAAGTGTAGTCCAAATGAACCTGGCCTGGTAATTGGAAAAATTAGATCAAAAGTGGCAGTGGATGGCTTTGCGCGCTATTTAGATATAGATGCTAGTGAGAAAAAAATACTTTGGGATGTCTTTGTCATGGGTGACAAATATTTTATTACGGGAGATGTGCTGGTTTGCGACGAGTTGGGTTACTTTTACTTTCAAGATCGAATAGGCGATACCTTTCGGTAAATATGAGTAAGAGGTAAAATATTTTATTGTCATGAGAAATTCAGATGGAAAGGGGAGAACGTTTCCACAGCTGAAGTCGAGGACATAATATGGAAAACCACAAAATTAAATCAAGTTAATGTGTACGGGGTTGAGGTAATAGATAAGTTTAATTTATTGTTTATGTACCATTTGCATTTAGATACCCGGAGCTGAAGGACGGATAGGTATGGCAGCTATACTAGGCAATGACGATAAGTCACAGCTAAACATCTTGGCAAAGGAATTCAAATCAAATCTTCCATCATACGCAATACCTGCCTTTATAAGGGTTCTAGAGTCTTTTCCGATAACAGGAACGTATAAATTAAAGAAACTGGAACTACAGAAAGAGGGATTCAATATCAATGTGATTAAGGACAAAGTTTACATTTTGAGTTCGGGGAAATATATTCCATTGACCAAAGAAATTTACAATGACGTGATAAATCATAGATTAAGATTATGATTTTGCAATGGCTATAGCTCAATGATAACAGCCGTTAAATACTTATACATATGTGCATTTATTTTTTAAGTCATTTTAAAATGATATACAAAAGTTCATTGTTAGTTGGAAAAATCCGGTTTATTTATCTTGATCATACTATCGTGTAGTGACCGCTTCATTAATTGCCTTTAGTGCCTCATCCGTTTAGACAGATGAGTTTTTGTAACTGGCTTGCTGCGGCCTTTCTTTCAAAAATGTAGTGTATATTGCTTCAAAAATAACTTTGAAGATTAAAAATATTTTTCCAAACATTTGAGTAATTTTAATGTGATAATCAAACGTAATTAAATTTCATTTCGTAGTTTAAACATGAATATATTGTCCTATTGTCTTGAAGCCGAATGCAATATTGAATTCATATACAGTGTGTCCCAGGTAGAACGCACAATAGGGAAACGGCAATGTATTTTTTCGCGAGCGATCCACGAGGCCTTTGAAATCGTTCAACGTACTATTCCAATCAAGAAAAAATAAGCGTTCTAATGACGTATCGCATGATCCATGTCGCCGTTAAAGATTTAAAATGGCGGTCGAACTCAAAAATCGTGGCAAAAAAATTTTTTTAGTCTCAAGATATGTGAAATGATTTCAAATGGAAGCGTTTTAATTGTCTTGTCTATATCTCAAATGGTTTGAGCGTCTGTGCTTTGGTTCTATCTTTAATACCGGCCCTTTATATCAAGATACATAAAAAGGGCAAACGGATTACTCGGGTTTCAATTGCTCGTTTTCACACGTTACTAAGAAAATAGGATTGGCTGCATATGTACTCCTGCAAAAATTTGAAGAAAAAAAATATCTATCAAATGAGCCTAATGGAAAGGTGCACTGCCATTACAAAAAAAAAATTGTTTTTCGTTACGTTTTTCTGAAATAAAAACAACTAATGCTGACTTATCATGGGAAATATAATGTTAAACAACTATCATATAGAAAAATTTTGTATACATTCGATCTTTACTGAAATATACTATATTCCATACAGAATGGGCACCCTGTATACAGGGTGGTGACTTGCGTAACGCATCATAGGGATTTCAATGTAAAATTCATAACATGCGATTATTGGCTCCCCAAATTATTTTAGAATAAAAATGTATTAAGGTTTTTTGTAGGAAAAAATTTTTTACGTTAATCAACCCTATTAGTTTTCAATTTTTTGCATAATAAAGACGGAAAATTGGAAAATAAAACCCCCATCTTTTTCAATAATCTGCGATGCCATGGAATTTTCTAAAACAAAAAGATATCCAGTTATCAATTATAGTAGCAGTTCGAAATGGATTTTATGATCGACTTGGTTACTGTATTGCAGTTAATGGTGACTTATTCGAACATTTATTGTAAATTGTTATATTAGGAAACCGTTTTTAGTAATTTGGTCTTTCTTTATGTTGAATTCGCTGTTCTAAATATAATACTTTTTGATAGAATTTGATTTGTTTAATAGCAGACATTCCATGGCATGACGGATATTGACGTAGTTTTTGTATGATAAAATTCCATGGCATCACCGATTATTGAAAAAGATGGGGGTTTTATTTTCCAATTTTCCGTCTTTATTATTCAAAAAATTGAAAACTAATAGGGTTGATTAACGTAAAAAATTTTTTCCTACAAAAAACCTTAATACATTTTTGCTCTAAAATAATTTGGGGAGCCAATAATCGCATGTTATGAATTTTACATTGAAATCCCTATGATGCGTTACGCAAGTCACCACCCTGTATAAGTATTTAAAACATTTATCTCTTCATTTATTCGAATATTGTATGCTAGACAGGTTAAATCGTCATATATTGAGTCATAACATCATCTCTGATAAACAACACGGATTTTGTACCGGTAAATCAACCCTAACAGCAATTACCTCCTTTGTCAACATCATTTCGCCATTAAACAAAAACCACAAAGTAAGCTTTTATGTTATGTCATTACATACTAATTCTCTTTTAATCAAGTTGTCATGATAACATTTTAAAGAATGAGTTCGGTTATTTATAACTAATGAGTTGAGCCTGTCCTAGAGATTGGTGAATGAAAGAGTAGGGGTTCCGCTTAGTCGAAACATAAGGGCGCAAGCAATTCCAGTCTCAAGTTACCCAGAGATGTCCTACGATGTGTTCTCGTTGTGCCCTTTATGTTATGTACTTATCCTTTCTGTGCGAAATGCTCTAACTCCTGGCGTTCTCAGACAAGGCTGACATATGTAATGACATTCATGTTTGTTTGGTTTTTGTTAAACTAAGAGCAACCAAAGGCAACTGTGTGTGAAGTCTGTGATATTTGCCCAGAAGTTTGCTGTTTGTTATTTGATGTTATGTCTGTGAAATATGAACTGTTTGGAGCCTATAATTCTAGATTTTGTAAATTTTCTTCGTAGTCATTCCATTCCATTCATGTGACTACAATCAATTAATTTTGTTATACCGCGAGCTATACAGTATAATATAAACTTGTTTGCTGGTTTGGTCAAGGTCGTGCAGTTTGAGGAAAATATCAACGTGATAACAGATTACGCCGCTTGAGGAACAAAAAGGCATTGCTGGACTACAGATTTTGGAGATTTCATTCCGACTATTTAGATAAATATAATGAACCGTAATTAATTGAATGGGTTACACATAACAGCATCCGACTAAGTCGAGATTACATCCGTTAGGTGCGCCATAAAAAAACTTGAATTTTGACATCGGTCCCGTTTTTTTTAAGCCGTCTGGGAAGCAACAATTCATTAAGGAAGTTGTAATTTTTGGGTGTAGATAATCCAATGTATGCCGATTTGGAATCTCCTATGTTTCCTCCATGGCATAGCTGAATTTTTATATAAGGTAAACGTTTAATTTAGAGGGAATCTTGTGCCTTTGAGTGGTTTACCGAAACGTTAGAATCCTTTTGCATTTGGTAGGGTATTTTATGGAAAAAATTAGAGGAAGAGAGAGACTTTTAAGAAGTAACTTAGATCATGCTCTCCCCCTTTCCCGTCTATAATATCTCCTGATTTCAATCAATCAATCAATCTTCATTCTTCTGTATACCATACATAAGTTTTGACACATCAGTAAATAGATAAATTAATAAAAACATGTACTAAACTATATAGATTACATAATAATATAGATTAGAAATGGTTTGAAATTGTATCGATTATCCTTCGCATCCTTCTTACTCCACTAATCCTTCAATTCTTCTCCTCATTTTGCATTTCCAAATGTTGTGGAAAACTACGCTCTAATTTTGCCCTGAAATACAAATCTATCTTACGACGGCACGTAAGAGAAGAATGCTCGCAAAAACTCTCCCCGTGCCTCCACGTTACCTACACGTCAAACATTCGTTAAGTCGACGTTCCCATCTTTTTTCGTCGATCCACAACTAAACCAATTGTGCGCATGCTTACGCAATCTGAGATGCTGAAATTGTAATTTCCATGAGAAAGAAAAACGTTGGAACTGAACTTAAAACTATCCCAAAATTAGTCTAGCAGATCACTGAACCAACTAACGAGTACCAAATGTAATTTTTCTTTTTCAATTTTTTTTAATTAACCGAATTTGTAATTTTTGAACTAATTGTTCAGATTTTCTCAGTGGGCTTTATCAACGCTTTACTAGCATCTTCAACTTGCTATGTTCTTCCATAATTACTACCAAATCTTATTTTTACGCTATGTCTCTAGTCGCCGCTCTCCTTTGTACACTTGAGTCCGGGTTCGCCTTTCTCCATCTTCTATCATTTATATTTAATTAGTTTTTTGATACTTTTCGCAGTCTCCTCCTCTGCAAGTCTTCTTTTCCATTTTTGATCAACGTGGAGTGACTAACTCAATCCACCAACCGGTTACCACACGACAACGTGAACCTTCTCGGTTATTCTAGTTCCCGCACTATGTCTTTCTTGAGTGCCCATAACTACCTCGCCCCTTCGACATTCTTTACGTGCTGATCCTAGTTGCGATCAATTGCAGTGTTGTGTTTGGTTTCATCTCCTTTCCATTCCTTCGTGTCAGTTACTGTTTTTCGGCGTTCTACAGTATCCACAAATATACACACACACAGCTTTTCTAATTAGTAAATTCGATTGTACACAAACAAAACAAAAGCTTACGCCATGATGAACTTCCCATTTAGAACCGCCGTCTGCCAGTTTCGATTTGAACAATAATTCACTTACATAAGCCCCAAAACCCCATTAATATTCTGGCCGAAATTTAAAAAAAAGTGGTTAAAATCGCCTCTAATCAAAGTACTCTACTGTTTACGTTAGTACAAGTAAAATGATAACCTTTACTCGCCCAGCCATTTAAAGATAAGTCTTTGTTCGTTTAAATTACATAAACGGATTTTCAAACCAAAATTAGCGTTTTTGTTTAGGTAAGTAAATCAGTTATTGCGTAGATATTTTGGACCTAGCAATCCGGTAGGAAATGGTAAATCTATACAAACTTTATATATTTAGTGTCATTTTTTAATTTTTAGTGGAAAACTGTAATAAAAATAGTATGTACCATACTTTTTTTAACAGCTTTAGCGAAATACCGCTTTCTCTACATTCTTTCTCGAACATGGAAGCGAGATTTTCGGTGAGTTACCATCTTCAGAGAATACGACTACTTTTCAGTTTTAACCAGCACATACTTCCGAATTTGCAAAGCCCTGCCGATTTTTATTAAAATCAAATTAAGTCAGAAACCAGTATATTATTACTTGGATGAGCTGGCAAGAAAACATCCCCAAAAAACAGCATACATTTTTGAAGATGAAGCGTGGACGTTTTCTGCTGTAAAGGAATTCTCCGACAAGATTGCGATATACTTTGAACGGGAAGGTTACTGCAAAGGTGATTCGGTCGCGTTACTTTTAAACAATTGTCCAGAATATGTCTGTATATGGTTGGGCTTATCCAGAATTGGCGTCGTCGCCGCTTTAATCAATACGAATTTAGCAAACGATCCTCTGATACACTCACTAAACGTGGCAAAATGCAAAGCAGTCATATTTGGAGAAAATTTTTGCGAAAGTATTGATTTCCGTGATTACAAGCAAATTAATTTCCACTTTTAGGTGTCAGCTCGTGCGTCGAGAGGCGCTTGAACATAAAATGTTATCAATACAATCGAAAGTCGCAAACAACTCAAATTACCGAAAATTGTACTGATCTTGCTAAATCCCTTGACAGTGTCTCTCCAGATGAACGCTTAAGCAACTATAACATTACCTCTACCGATCCACTTCTTTACCTGTACACATCTGGCACAACTGGTCTACCAAAAGCTGCTGTAATAAATCACAACAGGTAAATCCAATCGTAATCCTGCACTTTTACACTAGCTGGCCTTTAGAATGATTTTAGTGAAATCTTTCATCGCACTTCTCATATCCAACCCGGAGAATGTAATTTTATATTGTCCACTACCGTTACACCATGGAGGTGGTGGACTAATGGGTTGTGGTCATGCACTACTTTGGGGAGCGACGGTGGTAAATAAAACTAAATTCTCAGCATCGAACTACTGGAAGGACTGTGCTAAATATAAATGCAACGTAAGTAGATAGTAACCACTATAAAAGTAATCACAGCAAGTAGTGTTTATCATAAACGATTGGTCAGTTGTGTAGGTAGGTCATGGTGTATAATTTATTATACACCATGAGGTTGGTACACCAGTACATGGAACATGTGGACGGACAGAGTCCCCAAGGTTAAAAGTTAAACGGCTTTTGAGTTTTGATTGGACATCATAAACTGTACTGTACGGTCTTACTGTTTTAACTTAAAATGCTAGAATGAAGTATCCAAGACAGAATGGGCGATAGGAACGAAACGTATGCATCACCAGCAGGACCAATCAAATACGAATATCTCGCTATTGAATATTACTTCTGTAGCCTAATTCTTTCAACTATACGATGGCTACAATAGTGTAGACTAAAAAATATGTGATATGCAATTTCGAAATCCAAGAACCTAATAATCTGGGAATTTTTTAGACAAAAAGATGTCAAGAGAGGTTATTTCATTATAAAACTCATTAAAAAAATCTAGAATGTTTCCCTTATTGTGCTATGTCAAATTATAGTTTTGGCATTTGTGAGGATTTTAAAGTTTACGCGCCGTGCCTTTAAGGTCGTTGCACCTGCTTTAAAAACTTGGTTATGCATTTGTTTTTTAATATACAATTGATTGAAAATCCTCTCAGGTCTCTTTCTGCAAATGCAAAAGGTGTCTTTGGCTAGTATTTAAGATTTAGATACCCTTGCCATTTCCTTGATATGCGCCAGCATTTTCAATACATTTAAGAGTTTATTTGAAAGCTGCTTCCCTATTCATCCACGCCAACTTTTGTGTTTCAATTTTGAAGGTACCAACTTTTCTTCTGCTTCTGCAACAAGCCACTGAATAGATGGGGTATTATCTTTTTGAACAGAAGTCATTCTATTTACAAAGACGGTGATTTTTATAGACAAACTTCAAGTAACTTTCCCATCGCAATCATGGAGCAGCCATTTAATTAGAAATGCATTCGAGTACGAGTATAACGTTAATGTGATTTTATTTGATTTTATTTTTTCGGTTATTTTTAAATTATATTGCAGGTATAATAAAAAAATACTATAACAAACTCCTATATAATTGGTCTTTAAAGTACTTGCAACTCGTTGTGCGTGCTTTAAAGATCTGATTCTACACTTCTTTCTTAATATACTATTTTATTATACCTGCATCAGAATCGCCGTTTGAAGCACCTCTGAGTGTGCGAAAACAAGCAATTAAAGCACGCTGTGTTTTAATGGTTACTAAGTAACGTTACCTACCTCAAATCCTCTGAAACTGAAATTAAAAAAATCCTCACATGCCGATTTCTGTATAACGCAAAAAATGGCTTTGGATCGTATCCCTTGTTGAAAACTTTCCAAACGCACGTCATTTAGAGTTTTGAATTAATTCACCAAAGGATAGAAGATTTAAATACCTTAGACTAGACATTTCCTTCATATCTGCCACTGCCAGTATTCTTTATAACATGCTTCTGCATTTAGATTTTGCAAGTACCCATTTTCCTTGTGCTTCTGTATCAAGGCACTGAATGGTTGGTGTATTATCCTTTTCAACCGAAGTCATTTACAAAGACTGGGAGTAAAGTTCAAGTGATGTTTGCAAAGCAGTCATGGAATTACGAGTAAGCAGCCAACTGAATTAGAAATATATTCGAGCATAACGTCAATAGGATTTTATTTTATTTCCCTCATTGCTTACGTTTACACTTTGCCTCCTAATCCATGAGAATTCCAATCAATCCTGCCTTTAAGAACCCTTAACAGCTCTTAAAAGCCATTATCACAATTCTTAAGTAATTTTAAGAGCCTTTAAGAGTGTTCAAGGTTCTTCTAGAATTTCATGGAACTCTTTAAATGTATGTAACAGCCTTCAATATAGGTGTCTCTGAAACCCTACTCTACAGTCTTGAGGTTTGTTGAAGCCTCTTGAAGACTTTTAGAAGAGCTTTCCATAGAACCTAAAGGATTTTCAAAAGCATTTCAATGTGTTTATAGATATACCTCTTGATGGCTCTTGGAAACTAAACTTTGGCGCTTTGCGGAAGACCCTTGCATTTTTTTTTACTGAAAGTATTCAACGGTGTTCAAGAAACGTCCTAGATTTTCAATATACATCAAGAGGAGTCGTTGTCAGGCTTTATGGGTCTTTAAGAGTCTTTTATGCCCTCAAAAGAGTGGTTCCAAGAGTTTTCTAGAGACTTTGTAAACCTTTAATTGACTTTCAGGGTCCCTTACACATTTTTGAAAATCATTTAGAAGCCTTAGCAATCTTTAATACGCTTATACAGGGTGAAAAGTTTGTCTGAAGCACTGACTATATCTTCAAAACAATATATTTTTAAAGAAGGGTTTTAATGAAATGGTTGCTACCAATCTACGTACTTTAAATTTACGTACTTCTGTATGGTCTTTTTGAATGGCAGCCACTATTTCTTATTACAAATCACAAAGTGCACACCCTTTACGCTGCCATAAGTATGTTCAAGGACTGCGTGGGTCTCCAAGGACGTTTATTCGTGTTTAAGAACTTAGCCTTTAACAACTTTTTTGGATCTTTACGATTACGAGTTTTTAAAACAACTATTAGAAAGAATTTACGCATATTTAGGTCCTTATGAGCTTTTAGAGCTATTAGAGAAACTGTTAAAAAAGCTGTCAAAATCTAGGTATGCATCAATGACTTTTTAAAAACAAGATGTTACCAGGAATTTTGTTAAAACATTTTCCGCACTACTTTTTGGGATATATTCATATCATCGCAATGTAGAGTTAGAGACAATGCAGTATCGCTATTTTTATATGAACCATAACATGTTGTGTAGACATTTCAAAGATCCTGCAACCCATTGTACCTAAAAATATAGAAATAAACGATTTGGAAACTGGTACATTAGTCATCTGTGCTTCTTATAAGTTATTGAGGGATGTTAATTTTGTTAGTGACTGAGTTACATGATGAAAATCTTTCAACTACTTGCGTTTTCGTTAAAATGGAGTAAAATATTCTATATGCCCCTTAAGTCAAAGTCTAACGATTTATTCTTAACTTTCGTCTTTGTTTGTAAAATATTTAAAGACGTTGGGTGGTGCTCAACCCTATGGTAACTGGTAAGTTGTAACTGGGTATCGAATATATACCCTAAACGAACGAATCGAATGCTGTGGAAGATCTTTAAATTTTCCAACCCTGAGTTAGCTTGGCCGGTTTGAGTTAAAGCAGCACCATTCTAAACCTAAAGGTTTACTCAAATGCATACCTAACTCAACAACAGTTTGCTTATTAACTCGCTAACTTTTATTAACAGGTTGCTCAATACATTGGCGAGATGTGCAGGTACATTCTCTCCAGTTGCCCCGAAGATAACATAAAGCATCCGGTGAAAGTTATGTTTGGCAATGGCTTAAAGCCCAACATCTGGAAAGTGTTTCAACAGAAATATAAGATTAGCCAAGTCTTCGAATGGTATGCGTGCAGCGAAGGAAATTTGTGTTTACGTATGTTACCTAAAACTACAAAGACTAAATGACCGCATACTACCTAATTTACAGTAAACCTTGACAACAAAGTTGGTAGCGTTGGTCATATACCGCCCTACTTGCAGAAGTACTCTTCGTTGCAACTTGTTCGCTATTCCGAAGAATCGAGTGAACCAATACGAAATGTAGACGGGTTTTGTATGAAGGTCGGCGAAAATGAACCTGGTTTGGCAATTGGGGCTATCGCTGTAAATAAAAGGTTCGAACCCTTGGAATATACAGGTTACGTAGACGCGCACGAAACGAAGAAGAAAATATTGCACGATGTTTTTGTAAAGGGTGATGAGTACTTCAACTCAGGTGACGTTATGTCTCGTGACGAGATAGGCTATTATTACTTCGTCGATAGATTGGGAGATACTTTCAGGTTAGTATCATAATAGAACGAGAGTTTCACATCTTGAACACCATAGGTGGAAAGGTGAAAATGTATCAACAAATGAAGTGGAAACGGTGATTAGTAATTTGATTGGTTTCAAAGATGTCATGGCTTACGGAGTTGAGGTACCTACACTAAAAACCTAAGGGGGAAAACATAAACTTCCCTTTACAGATTCCGGGTACGGAAGGGCGAGCAGGAATGATCTCAATAGTGCATGATCACACTTCCATGGATATGGATTTTCTGCTCAGCAGTTGTAAGAGAAACTTGCCCTCGTATGCAATTCCCATATTCGTACGGTTTGTCAAATCTTCATCCTTAACATCGACCTACAAACTGAAAAAGTTTAATCTGAAAAGTGAGGGATTTAACATTAACGTTGTGACTGATACTATTTACATTTGTAATCCAGCGGTTGGCAAATATGAAGTGTTAACTCCGAAGCTTTATTCAGAAATTAACAATGGTACAATAAGATTATAAATTTGTTCTTGAAAACCAACTAGTGTTATAAATTTGTGATGCAAAATTACAATAAACAAATTATTTGATTTATTTAATCGACATATACCATATATTGCAACGGATTTTATTTTTTTCGAATTTTATAAAGATAGGTAAAGCTGGGATTTTTTAATATTTTAAGGGTTAGATCAGTTTAGGCTTTGTAACACAAAGTCTGTAAACAATTGGTGGAATTAACAATCGTCTTTTGATTTCTATAGCGCATCGTTGTCTCAATAGCTTTCGGAAGCCCTAGACTCAGTTTGAATCCGAGAGAAAGATTTTTCTGATAGGAAAGTAGCAGTTTTTTGGCCATCATAAAACTAACATTTATAGCGCGAGTTAAGTGTGTCTCACACTTTACTTTTACATCCACAACATCCGCAACATCCACACATGAATTAATTCGAACGTGTCGGTTTTTACCTAGGCTGAAGAAAAAGATTAGTGTCACCGGTGTCCTTAGGTGGCGCTGGATGGTCACCTGCACAACATTGGGCTTTTACGGGTACCCACGTGCAGGTTCTGTGGCGAATCAGATGAAACTACCGAACATGTGGTCTGTCACTGTGACGCGTTGATCAGAGACAGACATCAGCTCCTTGGCGACAGCTATCTACATGGTGAAGCAACGTAGACTAAGCGGGATCTTATCCTTTATTGAAAGGGGGTAGGTATAATGGGCCTTTGATGCTAAATTATCTAAATGCTGCCTGGTCGGTCAGCCATGTGATAGAAGGGAGAGATGGGAAAAGGGAAACCTACAAGTAGAGGGAAATATAAAAGAGGCGGGAACATTTGAATTAATGGGAAATAAGGTAGTAATTGTGAAACTACCATAGGAAAAGAAAAGGAAGGTTATGAGGGGAGCGGGATATACATAGATGACGAGTTGACATATGACGAAAGAAGGGTACAGAGATAACTTAGAGAGGTTGCGGAAAGGAAACAGGAAAGGGAAAGAAAGTAAGATATACTAAATAAAGGTAACTAGAAGATGAAGAATGTATATGGAGTAAAAGAAAAAGGATTAGTGGGAACAGAGAGAAAAAGAACGGAAGAGGAAAGGGCAGAGTTTGGAAAGAGGAACTAACAGCAAAAGAGAAGATACAGGGAGGGAGAATTGACACACACAACAGAAGAAAAGAGAAAAACGAAATAAAAAAAGGGCAACGTAAAAATCATATTCTGGAGGGGGGGGGGGGTTAATTGGTAAAGACACTCATTTCTGAGAGTTTGTAAGAGAATATGATATCGTAGGGATGGTAGAATTATGGAGAAGATAAGATTTGGGAGAAAATGAAGAACAGGATTCCGAATGAATACATATGGAAGAAGCATAAGGAGGGCTCAACAGGGGTGCGGGAATGGGGGGAATAAACTAAAGAGGAGGATGGAATACAAGTCAGAATAGCAGAAGTGGAGGGGAAAAATGGGGGTGATAACGGTATACAACAGAGAAGGAATGAAGGACCTAAAAAATGAGATAGAAAACATGGTAGGAGGAAGGAGAAGGAGGGTAACAGGAATTAAAGGAAAATCGGTAGAGATGGGAAGAGGAACACAAGATAGAAAATCGAGAGATAAAGAGTGCAACAAAGAGGAAGATGTGTTCAGTGAAATTATCAAAAAAGAAAAGATGGTGAATTTTAGACGGAAATATAAAGAGAGATGAGATAGGGACGGGCAATTCACATACATGGGAGGAAGAGAGAGCTCGGTAATTGATTACACAATAGTAAATGAAAAAATACTGGACGAAATAGATGAATTTAAGGTAGGAATAAGGATAGAATCGGATCACCAACCGATGGAATTGAGTCTAAAAGGAGAGATAAAAGGAGGGAGGAGATATGCGAAGAGAGAGATAACAAGAGAGGGGATAGAGCAGCAATTAAAAAGAGTGAAGAAAGGGAAAGTGGTAGGGAGAGACGAGATAGAAATTTAGGCTTGTATTTTTGCCACAGGAAGAGTCAAAGAAAGCATGAGAAATCTAGTAAACAAGGTTAGGAAAGCAGGGGGTTTATCCGAAGAATTGAAGGAAAGGGGCGTATAGAATCTCTGCAATAATACTGAACGAAAGACTCGAAAGAAAAATGGAAGAGAAGAGAATGTTGGGCTTCAGAAAGTGGAGGAAAACAATCGACTACCTACCTACGTACTGGCTAAGGTCGAAAGAAGGAGAGTAGTAGCAGAAAAGATGACAAATGAGCTGCCAAAAAAGGATCTGAATGCACAAATACAACAACAGAAGGTGACGATAGAGTGCGCACGAGGAATTAGTAGTTCTAAAGACTTATAAGAGAGTGGTTACCAAAATATTGTGAGAAGAATTAAAGAACATTAAAACAATAGCGAGATTCAGATGCGGAAATAGGGAGAGAGAGGGAAAGAGAAATGGAGACAAAAAGAAGAATGAAAATGTAGAATATGCGGAGAGGAAGAAGCGGACACAGAACACATGTTATAGAACTGTCCGGAGGTGGAAATGACAGGGGAAGTAGGAGTGAGGTGCTGCTTGAGGGATGAGGAGTAATAATATAAATATGTGGATTAATGTTTCTTCATTAACTGTATCTTATGCACGAAATTATGCCTCTTTGCGTATTTCTAATATAAAAGATTAATTAAATAATAGCCTTCACCGGTGTTGATTTTTGATAAATATATTTTTGTCTCAATTACAATTAGATACTCTCCCATTACAAACGAGGTTTGTGAAGCGTAAATTCCAAATACTGATATCAGAGAGAATGATATAGATAGATGGCAGAGGTCAGAATACCCACAAAAGTCTTTGACTTTGACTTTGTGTTTGAAACGCAGTCGTCTTTTGTGCATCATTACATTTAAATACCTGCATAAAATTGAATTTGCTGTTGATTCTTCTGTTTTTATATACTTAGTCTACTCAGAAATGGTAAGTTAATTAAGTGGTTTGATCTCTACTAATTTCTGTGTAATTTCAGTGGACAATTTGGATACAAAAGATGTATTTTAAATTGAAGTGGTTGTTCTACCAGATTTATACCGTTCTGCACGTGTTTCAAAAAACCTACAGAAGAGATTTGGCGTAAGTTAAAGTCAATTTAGCTACAATTATCAACAGGTTTTACAAAATAGAACAATTACAAAGCTCTATCAATGCCTCCCAGTATACAAGAGACAATGTGAAAGGAAACCAATTTATGAAAGCTTTAGGAAAATTGTGAAAGACCACCCCCAAAAAGCAGCGTTTCTATTTGAGGACGAATGTTGGACATTCTCAGCTGTAAAGGAACTATCCAATAAAATTGCTACCTACTTCGAGGGAGAGGGTTACAAAAAAGGAGACGCAATCGCTCTGCTGTTAGGCAATTGTCCTGATTACATCTGCATATGGCTGGGCTTGTCTCAGATCGGTGTTCCTGTAGCGTTAATAAACACAAATCTGCTACATGATTCTCTGATACATTCAATAAAAATTGCAAATTGTAAGGGTGTAATATTTGGTTCTAATTCCGCTCACGGTAATTGAGGGTTTACACACGAAACGAGTTACATAATAAATTTCAGCAAACGCCGATTTAGTTAAAAAGCGATTAAATGTCAAATGCTACCAGTACAATAGAAAATCAGAAGCTACACCGATTGCTGAAAATTGCATCGATCTCAAAAATAAAATTGATACTATCTGTCCGAGTGGAAGTTTAAAGGGTCGTCACAATATCTTAGTGACAGATCCTGTTCTTTATGTTTACACTTCTGGAACAACGGGACTTCCGAAAACTGTCCCTGTTAGCCATCAAAAGTAAAAGAAAATGTTGGCCGTTTGGTATTCATGGAAATTTTTAGAATCGGCGTTTATTGCTACGGGAGAGCAATCATCTTATCTAATCTACGAAATGCAATTGTATACGTTCCGTTACCCCTGTATCACGGCGCTGGTGGAGTAATAAGTGTCGGATTTGCGCTGTTTTGGGGAGTCACCGTGGTCTTAAGGACCAAATTTCTGCGTCGAATTATTGGAAAGATTGTATTAAGTACAACTGCAATGTAAGTAACGTGGAAGTCGAAACTGCAAAAAGGATAGAGAAGGAGGGTCATAGAATTGTTACTAACTGTACTTTACTAACAGGCGGCCCAGTATATTGGAGAAATGTGTCGATATATACTGCACAATTGCCACGAGAAAATCATCCAGCATCCAGTGAAGACTATGTTTGGTAACGGTTTAAAACCTGAAGTGTGGCAAGCATTTCAGCAAAGGTACAATGTGCCGCAGATGTACGAGTTTTACGGATCAACCGAAGGAAATATAATACTGCGTAACTATTATAGGTTTGCGTTAATTTCTCCTACAACGCTCAGTTACAGTTAATTTCGACAACAAAATTGGAAGTATAGGATTCATTCCGCCATATCTGCAGAAATATTCTCCCTTTCAACTGGTCAAGTATTGCGAAGTGACTGCTGAACCAATTCGCGATAAGAATGGTTTCTGCATTAGGTCGGATGTGCATGAACCCGGTTTGGCTGTTGGGTTAATCGCTAAGGGCGGAAAAAGGAGGTCCTCTTCTCTACGTGTAGGCTACTTAGATCCTTACGAGACAGACAAAAAGATTCTGCACGGTGTGTTTGAAAGTGGCGACCAATATTTTAATTCGGGCGATGTTTTATCGTACGATGAACTCGGTTACTATTACTTTGTAGATAGATTAGGGGACACTTTTAGGTCAGTGAGAAAGGTAATTTCTATTAATCGACGTGTTTTACAGGTGGAAGGGTGAAAATGTATCGACGTATGAAGTGGAAACTATAGTAAGTAACATTATAGGATTGCAGGATGCCGTTGCTTATGGAGTTAAGGTAAAGATTGAACAATTTTGGCCACATTTTGAACCCATTATTCGTAGATCCCAGGTTGCGAAGGAAAAGGGGGAATGGTATCGGTATCACTTGATCACCGGTCCCTTAACATGGACGAATTCTTAAAAACATTGAAAGAGCGTCTCCCATCTTATGCCATACCCATATTCATACGCTTCAACTATACCTCAGCTCTCACTTCGACATTCAAATACGACAAACAACAACTGAGCAAAGACGGTTTCAACATATTCTCAACACAAGACGTTATTTTGTATCATAATTCCTCATTGGGTAGCTATGAGCGTTTAACACCAGAAATATACGAAGATATTCACAACAACAAAATTAAATTTTGATTTTTTTAATTATTTAACTTAATTTCATGTTTCTTTGTTAATGATTGTTTAAAGATCGTAGTGCAATTATACGTTATAATATAACGTAATATACGTATAATTATACGTTATAATATAATAATACGTTATAATATAAACACGCCGACTAAGGGACTGTCTAAACAATTACACCTACACTATGCACTAAAAATGAAACGGACGTTTTTACTTAGATACATACTTCAATTTTAATTATTCCCACATGAACAAACTTTCTGAACTTGCACAAATTTCCCTTATTAAAATGACCTACAAGTTTGGATTGGTAGGACCTGCAGTTGAAACGCAAACATCTTAACAAATATGAAATGCTTCTGCTCAAATACGAAAGTTAAAACCCTCGAACCACGGATGAATTGTTGCAAGTGCTTTATTTCTTACTAGCGGACCCGTCTAATTTCAATGTCTGTTTTACTTTTTCAGTATATAAACAAGTTGGCTTTTAGAGTGTATTTTGAAAAGTTTATTGCCATTAGATTTAGGAATCGGTCTTTTAAAAGAGTCATATCTGTATTTTACTTTCATTGTTTCAAAGTTTATCGATAATAAATGTAGTTAAAATTGTATTAACTTTTTGAAATTATTGCTTCTTAAACACAACCGAACCAAACATACACAATTCAAAAAAATTAAAGTAACTTACAGATCACTGGAATCGGTGTTTTTCTTTGAATTACAGATGGCAAATGGTAGGGGTTTCCTTTCCAAAAAGGCTCCCTGCAAGAAAAATTGAAAACTGGATCACTTTTGATGATAAAGTTGAACGCTTTTATGACGAGCTTTCGTACAATTCTCTCTCGCTGTATGGACATTTTCAGGATCATGTAGCTTATTTACTTCGACCGCATTCAAAACTTGCGCCAAGTTCTTGATAGTGGGCACGCTCATTTTTCCACTTATTATTAGAGATTTGTCGTAAGCAAAATAAGTGCGATTTAATCGTCTCTGCTTATTTAACGTAAACCGCTTTAAAACGGGGGTTTGTTTAATTTTTTGTAATGTTTGCACTGAGGTCACTGAAAGCGCAGTGAAAATTATAAAACTAGCTCTAAAAGTAGTGGCGCTAGCCGGCGCTAGGTCAGCAGAGCACCAAACGTAAAAATTTTACCCGAAAAGACAAAATGGTGGTGCTAGGAAAAATTGCCCCCCACCCTATTGGAGGGTGGCGCTAGCTGTAAAATTTGTGGCGCTAGGTCTGACGAACACAGCGCTTGATTTGGAAGTGATCGGACGCACTGGTGGTGCTAGCGTTAACATAGCACCCCCCGAAAGTCAAAGGCTTTTCTGCAAAATCTATAATGGCGCTAGCTGAACTCAAAGTGGCGCTAGCTAGCGCTAGCTATAGAGATTCTAGCGCAATCTATCTTTAGTTAGAAATTTGAAATGGTGGTGCTAAGTTAACGGAGCCAAATCAATATCCTCTTCTCCCTTCTTCATAGTTACTACTCTGTTCGAACTTCCTCTTGCTCACCAATTGTATTAATTATGATAACCTCCCGAAATTCACTTGTCTTCAATTGTCATTTCTTGTATTATTATCCCCCCTTATTTGTTGACCTTTTCCAGCTGCTACTTATAAGTGCTACCAACCTATCTCGTTTATTTTTCCGAACAATAATAATTTTTATAAACGAACTAAATATATTGAAAACTGTAGGAGTAGTTAAAGTCTTAGACGGACAGACGGACAGACAAAGAAAGTGACTGCAATTTCTTCGGAAAGTGCATTAAAAATGAATGTGAGGGTTATTTCACCTATGAGATATATGCTTTGCGTATTTATTTTTAATAAGTATAGGGTTAATTTGAGAAACCTAATTATGGTAATGTGCATTACATAATGCTCGTTAGTGCATCACAGATAGAGTATATCATCCCAAATAAGAGATGGATCCAACACTACGTTATTAGTTTTTTTCTCATTACAAAGGCAATTCGGATCTATCGTTTTCTTCTGGTTCTTGATGTATATTTGAATCTGATTTGCTTAAAATTATAAGTGTCAAAGGAGCATCCTGTTCTGCTCATTAGCCTTTAGACACTAAAAATTATTTTCAATGGCGTCTAGAAACCTTCGTAAATTCGGGCGTACATCAATCATCGATTAAAGTTTGAATCCTTGTTGTACATGATTCTGCGTTTATTTTGGTGTTTTGATTCCCAAGCGATATTATAATTTTTGATCAATAGTTTCGTTAAGGAACATAATTTTAAGAAAGGTTATTCAACAAGCTTGGACGCAGATAACACAATTTGTGAGAATCTCCCAAATCTTAATTATTATAATATATTATGTTTGAAGGCACATATAGGTAACGAATATTAGTCAAACGTTTATACAAATAATTTCAAGTATGGACAATTCAGACAGCAAGTAGTGAGAAGTAATTAAAGGCTTTAGGTAGGTTTTTGTTTCCGATTTTGTATTTTTTTCCAAAATTTATGATCTAGACAAAATTTGAATATCTCGAGATTTACCGTTAATTATGACATACGTGGAACTTAGACGCATAACTAAGTGCAACACGAGCCCAATTGGACCTTGAAATTTGGAAGCGGTGGTACGTACATACGCATTGAGTTGAAACCCAAATTGAAAATTCTATACCTCCTAAAAATTTACACACAACACGCAGGAGTTGAAGCACAAATCAGTACAAAACGAGCACAAATTAATGTGTCAAGATGTATTTGGGCGAACAACGTAATTCATGTACATATACGTCTGCATGGTCTATTCCTGGTACCTAAAATTTTGGGTCCAATTGGTAAAATCGCCACTTACCTTTGCCAAGAATTTAGTGTACAACTGGAAGATGGGTTTCAGAGAGTAATTACATTTTCGGTCTATTAAAGACTACGGAACATTATCTGAGCTGAGGTACCAATAAATCTTACTTAAATTAATTTACGATTTTCTTTAGTAAGTGAAATTGTTAAGTAACAATGGTAATATTAATATAATTTTATTATTTAGATGTTCCATGAACTCCAAGAATATTTTTACACCTTATATATTCTAAGCCTGAAATTTGTATAGAATTTCGAAATTTTACAGTATAAAGAGAATAGGTACCTATCAAATAGTTTCGATCGAAAATTAACTATATCGATTGATATATAGGACATCGCACTGAAGTTGGTTGTTTGTTCAATTACGATGACTCTCGAAATCTAACGAAAATTATGATCATAGATTGTCGGGTTTAAAGCAAAGTGCGCTTTACGCAATCGGTTTTTTAAGTACTTCGTTTATATCTACAATAATAGTTTCTCATGTTCAGTATCAGAGTGAAAATCAAAAATGGTATGTCTTTTTTAAAGGTTGTTGTGTGAAAGTAATTCTGTTAACCTCTTTTAGTGGCTTCTTGCTGCCGTAATTGCTATTATCACCGCCTTTATAGCTAAAAATAAACGGTACAGATGGTTGTACATTATACTAAAAACATACAAGCGCGACTTTCGGTATGTATAATAGTTGAATAAATTTACACTAATCGCGCCCATTTAATAAAGAATTCCTGCTTTTTAAAATCTCTGGCTGATTATCGATAACTCCCTGCTTGCGCATTTTTATTGAAATCATTTGCTCATCTTAAGTTATGCCATCTGAAAGAATGTTTACGGTTGCAAACAAATGAAGGTTACATTTAAACAAAAGCTTAAATTAGGAAGTTCAATATCAACTTGAAACAATTACGTTTAACGGAGGGTTCTGCTTCTGGAATTTGATAATGATAATCCATCAGATCTTATGGTGGTTTAATTATCTTTAGATGCGTATCTTAAAAGCAACCTAAGGCCTAAATTCCATCGGTTAAATAATCTATGATGACTTGCCTTGTACGATTGATAAAAAACAATTCGATAAGTGACGCTCGAATTATGTAATTCAGACTTGTTGATTAACTATTTGCAAATCATTAGAACTGCCCTTTACCATAGAATAAATAAATACAAGTTACCAAGTACCATGCAGACAGGGCCGGCTTTAGGCGTAACCCTCCGCTTACGGTGCAGACAAGGGGCACAAAAATTACTCAAATTTAATAACTGCCGAATCACGGATATAAATCTCCGTGCATGGGATTTTCTAGTTTTAAGACCAAACGATTACGCATTACCACGATATAAGATCAATTGAAAAACTTCTAATATCATTTAGAGACACTAGGGTTGTTCTTGTTAGTCAAGCCTGCCAAAGATATGGGAGAATTGTATCTTCCTGTTGAGATGCATAAAAGTCATCTAAAAGAATTAGACGACCTTTCTACGAGGACACGGATGAAGCATCTACCGATCCCGAAGAAATTTACAAAAACAAATACGCACCTTATTCAGCCTTTAGCGCGACAGAGGCGCAAATTTTAGGGCTTGCTTACACGTAACTTTTGCCTTGAACCGGCCCTGTATGCAGATGCAAACCGTTCGAGATTATCGAATCCCAGTAACTTACAATTATTTACAAATTTATCTCTAAATTTACATACGTCTGGTTTCACAAGCAATGATTAAATTAAGATATACGAGAGCAGAGCAGAGAGAGCAGTATTCACAGCATGACCACAGAATAAAGAGTATGAATGTTTCTTTATTCTGTGGTATGACTATGAAAGCAACGACGTAGACTAACACTAAAATTTTATTTTTCAATATAGTTCTCCCCCGCATGAATGCATTTATGCATCGCTTCAACAATAATTATTACCCTAAAAAAATATTTTGATTTGTTTTTATAATGTTCTTCGTCATTGAAATGGCGCCTCAGTCTCAATTTCCGAAACTGGTCATAGTCACTTGTGACCATATTTTGACTATACAGAGGGTGATCGATTTGTTCAAAGCCGCTATCTTCGCTCACTGCAGACTGCAGTAATGTGTACTGCAGCAAACGCGAGTTTTCCATTGTAAGAAAACCAATTGTCGTGTTGTGAAAGTTTTGGCTGGCTACGGTCTCAGGATCTATATTAGGACGGGAATTTTTGGCGCTACCTTCATATCAATGATTCAAAATATTACGTTGGCTAGCTAGCTACCTTATTTATATTTAATACTAGCAGATCCCGCCAACTTCACACCGTCTATGAGTCAATGCTTTCTTTGATACATACGCTCGGTTTCGGTGGCTACGCCGCCTCACCTCGCACAGCTGACGTACTGTATACTCACATAGCATATTTGAGGCACGCTGAAAACTTGTCCAATGCTTTTCCAATCATACCCAAACACAGATTTGCAAACCCACTAAATGATCTGGCTTATTGACTTTTTCGCTCTTTAAATATTAAATTTAAAGGTGTAAAAATTTCGAAGTGCCTCAAGAACATTAAACATATAAGGGTTGATTTAGCCCCGCTATTCCTCAGTCAGGTCTGCAATGTGTATGGGTATTATTGGAGAAGTTTTCAACGTACCTCAAATACCTACCCAAAATGTCTACCAGCTCTCCTACTATATACCTTACGACCTATTCTCATACTTACCCATAAAATTATCCAAACAAATTTCATGAAAATAGTGACGAGAAAGTGATTTTTTTTTACTTTTTTGTATCTGTTCAAATAACTACAGAAAAAATGAAAACAAAATTGGCACAATATCAAGTTTTTTCTTGACTAACGTGCTAGAGCTATAAGCTATAAACAGAAATTGTCAAATTCGGTTTTTCTAGAATAACTTCGAAAGTGATCGGAATTTTCTAGTTTTCTTTACAACATGCGAATGACTCTTTAATTGCGCATCTTTTCCCTAAGTTGACCGACCCTCTTTGTATTTCCTAGATCCCGATGATAGACATCCTTGAGGACACAATGTATATTATTAGAAAGATTGTGATATTGTGAAGTATAAGTAGCAATTCTTTCGGTTAATGAATTCTTCAAGCTCTTATGATTCCATAATGTAATGACAATTTGAAATTCGTGTGTTGGGGGAAATGGAAATCTTGCAATTTAAAAATGTTTTCTCACAAAACGGTTTTTACTGCAAATCTGACAACAGCCTTTAGCATTTTTTTGGTAAAAATACTGACACATAGTAATGGATTATTTATAAATTTTACATTTGTTTCGGTTTACAGGGTCGCAATTGCGTTCGCAAAACTTAGAATAAAGTTATGGTGGTGGGGAAAGATGCAGACCTCGGTTCCGGAACGTTGGGCAACAATTGTAAAACGACATCCCAATAAAGTGGCATTCCAATTTGAAGGTTCTAGTTTAACATTTTTACAGGTATGTCTACGCTCGTTCCTCTCTATTGTAGGTAATAACTAATAATAGTAATAGGCCCTTGAAGATGTAGGTACGGCGTGGTAATTTTCAAATAATTGATACATAACGTTTGGATACAAATGTTGTAGGCAAGGGATAATTGAGGTACTAACAATCTAGAACACGACAGTTTCGACAGCCAAACTGTCATCATCACATCTTTATGGGTCTATTCTGAATTCTGAATATCACACTTAAGGCCGCCGGTTGCCTGATCCTGATGTTAGAAAACACGATTGGTTAATGCATATAAAGTCAATCAAATGCAAAATCCCTTGCTAACACCGCATTAACTTTTTCTCTGCAACTGGACCTTAGAGTAACTACATTTACATTACCATTAGTTAATGCGTTCATATTTTTAGGTCGATGAATTTTCTAATCAAATCGCCAATTATTTTAAGTCGGAGGGTTTCACCAAAGGTGATAACATAGCGCTATTACTAGAAAATTCCCACGAATATCCATGCATATGGTTGGGTCTTACCAAAATAGGTGTTGTTACCGCTTTAATTAACACGAACCTTGTTAATGATCCGCTTAATCACTCCATCAATGTATCTAATTGTAAGGCAATTATTTTCGGATCGAATCATAGCAACGGTAAGTGAAATTTTCGGTAAAGAAAAGTTGAGCAGATTGTTCTTTCAGCTATTAAACAGATCCAGTCTAAGTTAGTATCTGTGAAAAAATATCAGTTTCATGAAAACGTTGGTAAAGAAGAGGACATTGTGAAAGATTGTGTAGACTTACGAAAAGCATTGTCAACTGTAACCACTAAATCGCCTGGAACTGTCCAGGTGTCTGTAAAAGATCCATTCCTTTATATTTACACCTCGGGAACAACAGGTCTTCCAAAAGCAGCTGTTATTTCGCACGTACGGTTAGTGCATTAACTCCATCTTGATTATGGTGTAACTAATTCGTGCTTCACAGATTTATGTTTATGGCAACCGCCTTCAACTACATGTCAAAAATGCGGTCAGAAGATACCATTTATAACCCGCTTCCACTTTACCATTCCGCTGGTGGTATGATAGGTATGGGACAAACAGTACTCCATGGACTTTCGGTGGCTATTCGTAAAAAATTTTCGGCGTCTAACTACTGGAGTGACTGTGCTAAGTATAATTGCACCGTACGCACTTTTCCACAATAAACAAAGACGGAAATTGATAACTCCAATTTTGTGTAGGTAGCGCAGTACGTTGGTGAAATGTGTAGATATATCCTAGCGACACCTAGAAAGGAACCAGTTAAGCATTCTGTTCGTGCCATTTTCGGAAACGGACTAAAAGCGCAAATATGGACAGAGTTCGTAAATACCTTTGAAATTAAAGAGGTGTTTGAATTTTATGGTGCGACTGAAGGAATTTCCAATATCAGTAAAGAACTTTTCTCTCCCTATCCATAGGATAATATTAATATTTGTAGTAAACGTGGATAACACGCCCGGGTGCGTAGGTTTTGTACCGAGGTATGCGGGTCCTATCTACCCTATGACTTTATTAAAGTGTGATCAGGAAACTGGAGAACCACTTCGAAATAGTGATGGTTTTTGTATGGAATGCGGAATTAACGAACCGGGTTTGGTCATTTCTAAAATTAATCAAAGAGATCCTTGTCAGGAATTTAAAGGATATGCCGATAAAAAGGCAACAAATAAAAAAATTTTGCAGAATGTTTTTAAGAAGGGAGACGCTTATTTTAATTCGGGTGATATTTTGGAACGCGACGAACTTGGCAACTACTTTTTTAAGGATAGAACTGGAGATACATTCAGGTAAGAATTTTCCTGCTTTTGAATTTTTGACTCACTTCAATTTACAGATGGAAAGGGGAAAATGTATCTACGTCAGAGGTCGAGGGTATTATCAGTAATATACTTCAGTTAAACGATGCCGTTGTCTACGGTGTTGAGGTAATTTAATTTCAATTAAGCTCTGATTTCCATCGCTCAACATTCCAGATACCAAACACTGAAGGAAGGGCGGGTATGGCAGCCGTTGTGGATACTAATGATAGTTTAAATTTGGAAGTATTAAGCAATGGACTGAGAAACAATTTACCTACGTACTCAATACCGATATTCCTGCGCGTGCTAAAAGAAGTGCCATTAACTGGCACATACAAATTGAAGAAGATTGATTTGCAGCGTGATGGCTACGACATCAAAAAGATCAGTGATCAGATTTATTTTTACAATGCAAAACTTAGAAAATATGAAGAACTGACGAAAGACTTAATGGATAAAATAAGAGATGGCCGCGTTAGTGTATAAAATATTGAATAGTTTTAATTATCATAAACTGAGAAGTACCTGTAAGACATCATTTTGCGAATGAAAAATACCAAATGGTTGTGAAAAAACGACGCTTATTTCCCAATGTCGTTATAGCCCTATGATATGACGTAATTTTATGTACAGTACTTGCATATTGCAGGTGCGCTTTATAAAAAAGGTTAGCTGTCGATGACATTCCCGTAGGTGAAATTTCAAAAAAAAAATATTTTTCATTCGCAGTAGACATTGCCATTCCTACTTAATTTATACCTAATTGATCATGCCAAATATTTTGTAAAATTTGAACTTGTGACCGTTTGCACATTTCAGCAAAGGGGCATTAGGAAATTGCAACTGAAAGACTTGACAATTATTTATATTATAAAAAAATGTGTTGTAATATTTGTTTTAATATAACATTTCAAAACTGCACAGTCTTTGAAGTAACTGCTATGCATATACAGTAATACAGTCAAAAATTGTCGTGTTATTCCCTTAATTCATGTAATGAGATATAACAAAACAAATCAACAAAAAGGAATCGGAGAAATACCATCTGAATTATGATATATTATGGTAGACACTTGACAGTACTCGTACTTATATAGTACATTGTCGCAATTCGTAATTGAGTTCATAGGGTGCATATAGGAAAAAATTGGTAGCTATCCATCTTATAACGACTCAAAACGGAGTGATATTGACTAAGTGGATTTATAAAGACACTAAACCTTCCCCATACTTCTTTTAATTATTTCAGGTTTTAGATTCAAGGCATTAGGTGACAGCGACTATAGTTTCGACCCGAAGGTCATTATCAAATTATAATATTTCAGCTTGATAATGACCTTCGGGTCGAAACTATAGTCGCTGTCACCTAATGCCTTGAATCTAAAACCTGAAATAATTAAAAGAAGTATGGGGAAGGTTTAGTGTCTTTATAAATCCACTTAGTGCATATAGGAAACAGAAATTACATTTTCAGGAACTACTATACTATATTTAATCAGGACATATTCGCCGTGGTAATTCGCGTTGAAAAACTCGAACTCCACCCTATTAATTAGCTCCCTGGAATCTTCGTCACCTAAAAAATCGTTCGTAAATATTCACCCACAGTAAAATCCGGTTATGAGAAATTCACTCACGTGGATTCGGTGGTGCTCGTGACAAAAATCCATAAAATGAATTTTTTTCGCTTTGAATTTTATTTAACAATGTAGCAGAACATCTAAATGTTCTACTGTAATACTAAGGTACTGCCTTCCCTTACCACCGCAACGTCCGCAACTAAAAGAAATTGAGCTTAGTCTAAATTATGCAAACGACATGTGCAGAAAGAGTGCATTTGCGGAAAAAGTGCATATGTAAAGAGTGTATTTTGCATTATCTGTGCTCTATAACATTAAAAGTTCAAGACGCAGTTCGATACTGGTCGTCGAGAGTTGGTATCTTACGACAGGTTTGTAACCCATCTAGATCCATAGCTAAAGGGTGGGGAAGAAGAGCCGGGTAGTTGGTAGAAAACAATTTCTCTCGTTGAGAGTAGCACCATTGACGATAGAATTACCTCTCCCCTTTCCAATTCATAACATGGGGGGAAGCATCGGTTTTTAGTTCTGTTCTTCTTTATCAAAACCATTTTTACCTTTTTCGCGAAGAAATTTTTAAATGGCGGATAGAATGGGGAGAATATTCCTGGGGCAAATGGTTCAGGAGCGAATTTACCACACACGATTTCGTCACATTTCATAATGCATTTGCAGTTTTGTTACACACTGTACAAAATGTAAACCCCTTTCTAATCCGCTGCTGACCTTCAGTTTCCAAACGAGGCTCTCACACACACAAATCTCGGCACACAAAATTTACACTACGAATTGTACTAAAAATCGAAACATGTAGTAACCCAATTTCAAATGTCATTATTCATGGGAAAGGTTTAGAGTTCTTTACTATCCAATTGGCCATAACTGTAATAACGAGAAATCTACGTTTTATAGTTACCATATCATTTTAGTCAGCTAACCAATCAAACAGTTTGTTTATTTTAAAGAACAGGAAATAAAAGTAGATAAATAAAGTATTGGCTCTTGAAAACAAACACTTTCTTTGTTTCCTACTTTGATTATAAAATACACTATATTCAAAGGTTTCCTAGAAGGTTTCAACACGTATTTCGGTTTCCTGTTTCAGGATCCGAGCACATTTTGTTTCCCGAAATTAGACCATCGTATAGTACCTATCATATTCTTTACAATATATGCTAGTTTTGAGGCAAATTGCTGAGAAAAGCTTCCTTGAAAGTCAAGTTGATATTTTTTAAGGAGATGCGGACACATTTCCGACTTGTCAGTTTTTCCTTGAACAAAATTCTATTGGGTGTCCCACCGCGGGCGGATTTTCCTTGACTACAAATCCTTAGGGCGCGAATTTTCCTGTAGCAATTCTTCTAAGAATAAATCTTCTGGAAGAAATTCTTTGTCAAATAATAATTACTTCTGAAAAAAATTATTCTTACTTAGTCTACACAAAGAGTATATAACGTTACTCTTTGATCTACCTTATATTATCCATAAGACAACTAAGTCAAAGGTAATATACGTACAGATAAATGGCATTGTACCGTGTAACATTCCCAATCCAGCCCCGAGGACTGCGCAACAAAACTTTCCCATTCAAACTGTGGGAAAGGGAGCCCTATTGCACATGATCTGGAAAAAGCTACGTAACCTGAGTAACGCAAATAATAGGGCCACTTACTTTTACTACGTTGTTTTAAAAAGTCACTGCAAGATTAATGTGCTGCTGCTGCAGAGTGATGATCACCTGACGTACGTACCTGCATAAGTAAAATGCGAGTAAAATGATTGTTTGCGCGGAAATTTACTCGAAATAAATTACATCGCAAGAATAAACTTTAAAAATGATAGTTCGCCAAGTAAAAATAGCTGTGAAAGTAGGACCTAATAAATGTAAAGCTTTAAGGAAAATTAGGGGGAAGTCATAAAATCGTCCATTATTAATAAACTTATGTTAATTATTTTTTTAGTTTTATTTATCATTATTTTGTGTTATTCAACATTTATTTAAAGTTAAATAACGTTACAGCATAATTTTCCGAGGCTGAATTCATCCATCTTCTCTTAAGTTTGACAGTGCGTGACGACACGCTCTGAATATGAAACCAGTCTGACAGAACCACACTGATTTTACTATAGGAAAAAAATTGTCTAGGAATATGGATACCAAATTGTTTTCCAATCGTTTCACCAGTTTAGCCAGAAATGAGAGTACATACGGACCGACATCATCGAGATTTTGTTTAATTCGGCTTCCTGGTGCTTCAAAACTCGTATTTCCGTAACAAAAAGTGGGGGGTCATTTTTTACCCCAATACAATACCTCCCTTACTAATGTGCGGGTGGTAAAAAAACATCAGCATTACACTGATACCGATAATCGATCTGTAGTAACACAACAATTTTCTGGAATCACTCTGAACAAAAACCTTGTGTTTATTATGAAATGATGTGGTACGATGAATGGCACGCGATGGGTAGGTAGTTTTCTAAAACTGATTATAAGGTATCTTTAAGGTTCCCCATTTTGAATAACTTTAATTAACATCTCTATATTGTTATTTTTTATCGCTGTCCTACAATGTCCAATCATGTTTGCTGCATTTGGCCCAACTACAAAGGAGAACATTTTAATTTCATCACCTAAAAACACTCATACCACCTCTCAATCTTGAAGCCTTTTGTATAATAGAATTGATTGACTTCATGGATTCGCGCCCTTCTGTGTAATTTGACAATCGAATGTTATACCCGTTGATCAATTCCTTGTTGATGATGTTAAGCTCGTCGTAGTACTTACACATCTCATCCCTAAAACTAGAATTTAATAATCGAGCGAAGGTACGAATAAACTTACAAAGCATTGATACGACTATCTTCAGCCCGTACAACTAAGTTACGAATTTGCCCCAACTTGTCGGCAATATCAGTACCTAAACGTAGCCGAGAATCTTGAATTTCCGATAACACCTCCATTAAAGTAATTAACTTTTTTTCTTCTTCCGGAAAACACGCTTTAGACTGAAACCGCTCTGTAATTCCAGAATGAAGTCTACCGTCCCCTTACCTGAAGCAATTCAAACTTGCAAAAACACGCCAATGATTGGATCAAATCAGCTGCCAACAGCAAGTTGGGGGTATAGAAAACCGTTTTTCCGCTTCCGTCAAAATGCAAAATCAAATCGGTAGAGTCTCGCAGAGACTTGAGATAAATTTCTAAATACGATCCGCACTCGTATTCAATATCGGTGGGTAACAAGAAATTTTGGTTCACCCATATGCAAATCCTCTGAAGTCGTTCGTTTATTTTAAACTCCACGTAACTATCGGTGTTCTTTTCTTTTCCCTCCTTTAGGGCGTACATTGAAAAGCGAGGAAGCTGGCGGGTCAATTCAAAGACGTGGTACTGAAGGCTGTTGGTGTAACCGACGAAAGCCTAAGCTCTGATTAATGGAATACTGACATTGATTTAAACCACTTACCTTGATATGAATGTCAATTGGTATATCTTTTGGTAAAATCAACGGTACTGACAGATTTGATCCCAGTTTGGTACGTGGTGGATGCACAATATTCGTTTCGCCCTTAAATATACCCTCCGCAAAAATCACCACGGCTCTGATTATGGTATCGTTGTTCGTTGAAATGAAAATTTCGACATGTGGCTGAAGTACGATACTTTAATAGTTACCCTAAGCGTAAAGTTTACCTTGGATGATTCTTCATTGGTAGCAATACCAATCTGTAGACGGGTGGATGCCGGAATAACCCCCATATCCTCGTTGCCCTTACTTGATTCTTCATTATATTTGGTGTTATTCTCATACTGCTTTAACTCCAATATCAGCTGTTGTTTCTGCGACAGTAGCTCTCTAACGGTTTCTTGTTCAGATACGGATCCAGTTTCGGTCAAACATTTGGTTGTTGTATATCCCCGTACTAAATTTTAGATTTCTTTGCTAACATATAATAATATTGAAAGCGTACCTTCTCCTTCAACAGTCAAGCAGATAACATCAGTTTTTCCGATGGATCGATAATCGGCATCGACTATGCCGGCAATACTATGTTTAAGTGAATCTTTGAACAACACTTCTCCGGTTTTAATTGATCTGCAATCTATTTTACCATTTGACCAGCCTGTGATTAGTTGAGCGGTCCCTTGTCCAAGTAAGTCGTAGTGGCGCATAGAAATTGCAAAATTTTTCGACTGAAAATTCATTGCGGTATATATTTATAATATATTATATATTTAAGGGGGCTTAAGTTCCTAAGGGGCATTGGGTACACCAAGGAACTAAATAAAGTACACACTTTAATCCGAGGGACCTGTGACATACCTATACGCTATTTTTTGTACTTCGAAAATTATCGACAACAATTTAACAGGTAAAGTGCACATTTGAAAGGAAGAATTTTATGTGATTGTAGGATCAAGATACAAATGCTGAAATGCAGATACAAATAAACGTCATCAAAGATTTATTAGCATGCCTTAAAGAAAACCAGAAAATTCTGATTACTTTCAAAGATGTGCCAACGAAACCGAAACTTTCAGATTTCGTTTTCGCGTGTAACGCGGATCCAGAAAACCGGTAGAGCAGTGTGACCCATTTTCAATAGGCGTGTGAGATATGGCACGCAACGCAGGTCAACTGTGCAAAGTTTGAACCGAATCGGTCCAAGCGATTGTTCGTAGAGAGACAAACAGACACAATCGATTCTCCTAAAAAGCTTGCAAACTTAGAGATAGTTCCTACAACTTTTATGGCTCCAAAATCATATTCAAAAAACGCGATCCGAAGGTTCTTGCACATGTTTTCTTTCTACCAATTGACTTATCATTATATATAATCGCCACATTAATTATTTTGATTGTAACATATTATACCAATTCAAGTTCAGAGACATTCTAAAAATTGTAGCTGTAAATGAAAAAGTAGTAATAAAGCCGTCAAGTATTGTCTTCATAATTTTTTATATGAGTTCTTAAACGGGCTGTTGTAAGACAAAAGTTCAACCTCATATTGAAAACCTTGATTGAATAATTTTTGAATCCTAACCAACCAGACTTCCTTATTTAGTCCCGATTAATTTTTTAGATAACATACAGTGAGCGGCTAAAATATGGAACAAATTCATTTAAAATTCTGTGTTTGGGTTTAAAAAATACACACGTCTAACATAATTTTTTCTTGCGCATTTTTTGCACTGAAGAGAAAATATACACGGTGCGTCTTAAAAGTGGATTTTGGTACCAAACTTATTCTTGTATTTTTTAAAAGCCATTTTCTAATTCTGTGTCAAATTCTACGAATAATCGAAAATGGATTTAAAAAAATACTGTTTAACCGTTAAAAATACTCAAGTTTGGTATCAAAATCCACTTTTTGACTTACCGTGTATATTTTCTCTTTAGTGCAAAAAATGCACAAGAAAAATTATGATAGACGTGTGGGAACATTTTTTTAAAAACCCATCACCTGGTTTTTAAAGGAATTTGTTCCATATTTTAGCCGCTCACTGTATATACCAACATTTGGAAAGGAACCTAGAGGAAATCCTGGTTTTTAAAGGAATTTGTTCCATATTTTAGCCGCTCAGTGTATGTATCCCACATTTGGAGAGGAACCGCCGTTAGAGAAATGTAAGTACAATGAATCCGAAATAAGTGGAGAAGTGTTCATTTCCACCATAACTAGGTACTTTACTCATTTGGAAAATTGCGCTAAAAATTACCTACTGTCCCGTAGCGTTAAAGGGCGAAGAAATTAATGAGCGAGTTATTAATACCGTATGCCCCCTATAAACCTAAAATGTGAGGGGGGTGGGTGAGTTTTGGCGTTCTCAACCCAAACATTGAATCCGTACGATTTTCAAAAATTCGTTTTGAACTTAATTTTGGCTTGGTTTTAGTACATAATAATCACGCATCGCGAATCATAAATCAAATTTGAAACGTTTTATTTACGATAGATAATAGCAGATAGGTATGTACATTAGGCCGAACTCGTGATATTTTGGACAACGCGCCATCGAAATAAATAGTTCAATTGACCTCCTTGTAAAATGTTATAATTTATTATACACAAAAAATAACATAAATCGCAATTATAAATTTACAAACGTGCCTTAATAATTTTGCTGTTGACCTAAATTTTCTAATCTTTGCAGATAATTTATGATTCAGATGCGCAAATTTACCAACTTTTATCGAAATCGACGTATTAAATTTGAAATTACCTTCACTCGCCACAGCCTCACTTCCTGTTCGTAAACACCAACCGTTCCGTTTGAAACCGAATACGCGAATCTACTTTCCGGTAAGCTCGCCAACCCAGTTACTACTTCCGTTTCGACGTTCTCGCTGGTTACCTTGTCTCCTTTGTAAACGCGTATTGTATAGTCTTCCGAACTAACAATCAACTGTAAGATTGTGTAAGTTCCTGTCAAGTTCTACTGGCAGTTCTCACCTCGTTAACGCCACTTTTGTAGAAATCCACTAAAGCGATACTGGTAACAACATCGCCGACGGCGGTCCAAAAGACCTCTTCTCCTTCGTGGTTTAACCCATGCACACTTGAGTTCCCTCCAATGAATACAATAGCGCTCTTAGAGTCTCCGAAGTGCCCAATTGCCATTGCTTTGACACCATCCGTGCACTCTTTGTAAAACACGTCGCGATTATCGTGCACGTGGTAGGCCAAAACATGGGTTGGGGTTCCTAGTTTGCGTGTCCATTAATCTATTATTATTCTCTAAAGTTTAAAATACCTATAATCAGAACATCTTTATCTTCATTTGGCAGGAACTTTCCAGCAACCAAAGCGCTTAAAGCTTGATTTACACTTAATGTTGCAATTTCCCGATTGGACTCTGACCATACAACTCTACCGGAAACAGATGAAGATCGCCTGTGTGGACTGTGGATTAACACCTAAAAATATGTGCCTTTCTCTATTGATATCGCGCAATCTTTACCTTATCCGCAGTAGTCGCTGCAGTCAAGCATGGATGGGTCCCATCGTACTTACCAATTGTAACCAAGCCGGGCACAATTTTATAATTTAATTCAAGCGTAAATACGGGGCGAATAATTTTATCCATTTTGAGTGAAACAGGTTATGTTTGTATACGCCGCCGTCACCAAGGCAACTGCTTATTGATTTACAACTTTTTACTCAGTTTATTCAGATTCGATAGTACAATGGTAAGGTGTGTTTATTAACAATTTATTTATAAGATTATAAAAATAATTCTTAGTGCATTTAACAATGACTATGCTAGCTAAATACGGTATTAGAGGCTTCATGGGAATAACTAAAAATAAATATAATACGAGTTGCCTTTCTATTTAATAATAAATAAAATATAAACGGTGGCAACAATAAAGTAGTATCAATTCTGGCAGTTTTTACGAACACAGTTATTTGCTTTGCCTGGCAGTATTAAATCAACAAAAAAAAAGGAGATGGCACAGAATTACAGAAATTTTATCCTAAAGTGTTTTATTAAACGTCATTCTTGCTAACAGGATCCACTGTGAATGGCCAGGCGCCTAGTACAAATGATTCAATTTCGCATTCATCTATTCCACGTGCGATTTTGAAGTATCCATTCTCGCCCCAATCTTCGCCCCAACTGTTTGCAACGCGCTGTAACAGAGAGACATATTTAATTATATGCTAAAATATTTACGGTAGACCACTTAAAAAATGACCCAGTAAATACTAAGATCGTTAAACCGACGGTATTGCAAAAAATAGACATGGCACACATTATTCTACTTTGTCCGCTAACAGCTAACAATATTGATCAAGAAAAAGGTCGACGATCGAAGATAAATATAAACTTGCAGAATACATGACGTAAGTGAAGGGATCGAAGGCCAACGTGAACGGTTCGATTAAAAGAAAAATTGCATTACCCAGTACTTGTGCACCCTTCCATGATAATCGGGTTCTTCACCCCATCCCACAATTCTCACAGAGTGATAGCCAGTTCGGTCGTCCGTCGCAAGGTTCGTGTGTCTGTAAATTCCACTGCTATACGTGAAGAAGTCGTGATAAACTCGCATGGTGGCTGAAACGACTTTGTTAAACTAATTAATCGAACAGTGGAGTATACCTTGCACCGGGCCAGATGTCATGATTTCATACATGATATCAGTTTCGTTTGCTAGACGATAAGCGGGTCCTACTTTGTATTTTTCTTTTCTGCCTACATTGCGTGGCAGCGCACATCTCGCCGATACAAGATCGCCCAATTTCGGAATGCGGCATGAGTCATCATGTCCAATGTATCGGTAACAGTTTTCGTCCACTATTCTGTAACACCATAGATGAAAGAATGGTAAACTCCGTTTCTTCTTACCCGTATTTCCTGAAGAAAAGCCAGGCCTTATCTAAATACCCACCATTACAGCTTTGTTGCCCTCTGTTGTTACACGACAGCAAGTTTTGTGCGCTCAGTTGAACTCGTTCGAGCCCTTCGGAAAGAATTGCGAATCTGAAATAAAATAATTATTTGAGGGTTGACAGCGCATTGAGGATTACCGATCGGATGCGGTAGCACTAGTGGACATTGCCCAGGAAGCGCCACACCAGCCCTGGTCTTGGATGGGTGAAATATAACCGCGCCACTTTTGGTTGGAATCGAACTGATGTGGCAGAGAGTTAGGGTCGTATATTCTTCTAACCGGACTCATTCGCCTAACGAAACGATGGGGTTGTAATGTGCCCAGTCTCAATTTGATTCCCTCATCTAGACGTCTACCCCAAAACTTTGTGTAATTGGAAGCTCTCCACTGATGCTGGTCGTATCTCTGATTGACTGCGTTGATTATATTTTCTTCAACTATGCAGGTGTTTCTTTCACAAAGCATCTCCACAGTTGAGCCAACTTGCTCACATTTGCTGCAAAACGTATATATCAACAAAAGAACTTAAATAAACACTTCAAGTACCATATGTTGCAATTCTCTTTGGCAGTTTTGCCATACGCATAGTACTGGCCCTTATATCGACACACTCTAATTTCTTGCACTGTGTAATTTCCTCGACACACAGCTTGAAAATCAGGGCAACAATCGTCACTCCTGACGCGATCACAGAAATCATCACAATAACAAAGCGTACCTAAGGTAGTGTTTTACAATAAAATCGCAAATCGCATACTACGTTACCTATAATAGGGGCCGAACAGCCATCCATTCTTCCTCTACAACACGCATTGGGGCGCGCTCCACAATAGGGACCAGGTGGTAAATCATCAGCATATGGAATTGCGCTTGCAATATTTACGTAAACGGCAAGTGCCAAAAGGGTTGCTTTTATTCGAATCATCTGAAACAATATTAAATTTAATATAAAATTACAGACCTTTTTTTATAAATGAATACTTTAAAATCCAAAATAGACAACAATTAGTTTAGTTCACCTTCCTACACTGACACCGACTAAATTAAAAATAAAGTGCGACTTGCTTGTTATTGCATAGGTGAAAAAGTGTTTCAATGTGAAATCATCTCTATTTAAACGGTTTTAAGTTCAACCGTCATTTTCGGAGGGGTAGATAATCAGAGAATACGTCTTAACATCTTTACATATAAACGTATATGACGTATGAATCAGGTCCGTTACATCATCCATTCACAATTCAAAGTGATTAATAGCGTATGAATGTTTAGATTTGTGAAGTGTTTTAATTTATAGCACCACATTAATTTAATTTTACAAGTGAGCGAGTGCATTTTTGAAATTTTGCCGCCCATGCAAACAATTACCAAAAAATAACCAGGAAAATTGGAACCTAAATATAACGCTTTGGATTATTTTCTTTATTTAGCCTCTCGACGATAAAAAATCCAATTTTTCCACATAAACATTTATAATAAGCGTTCAATAACAAAACGTACATTAATCTTTTCATCCGTTACATACCGGCATGTTTTCGTTGCACATTAGTTTATAATTAATAATCAATAAGTATATATACCTAAACAATGCAAAAAAAATGATATTTACGTCTTCAAACGACTTCAAGCTAAAAATGATTAGATTTCCGAAGAAGTATACGGTTAGATAAAAGTTGTGGTGATGAGCCATTACCACCTTTGCACCAAACCGCAACGATAAAAAATTGGGTTACTGCATATCAGTTTCTAACAAATTGATTCATCATATATCTTTGACATTTAGACAGATTACGTTTAGTTAACCGTTTTATATCACTGTCAGGGTCAAAATAAGTGCAATGCTCCAATTGAATTTTAACAATTTCGTATGGCAGAGCAAATGAAAATAAGAGGTTGAAGTGGGCAGCAAAAGGAAGGACAGATGGTCTGAAATGATTTATTTCTTCGTTTACTGTCGAAAAAAGTCAAATTGGAGGCGAAACAACTAATTTGATGGCAGCTTACAAATTTCAAGGATAATAAGGCAAATTATTCAAACTTCTTCCTCAAATGCAATTGATAAAAATATGGTAATATATATTTCGGCATAAATATCACAGACAATTCTCAAAGATGATTAAAATTGTTTAAAAAAATTTAAGCGGAAAACGATACGGCTAAGGCTTATTTTGATCAGTAGCAAAAAAATTTAGGAACACAACAGTACAAGCGAACAAATTTTGTAGTGGAAACACTACGCAGTTTTACATTGATGAACCAAAAAAAGGAAAAATAGGTAAATCCCCATCTTTTATATAACGTCAGGTGTTTTTGTTATATATACGTGACAAATGTTCATGAAACAACTTTTTTCGCGAAGGTGACTGACTGCTCTCAAAATTGTTGTGTACCACATTTCACATTTCTTTCATTTCCACATGTCCATAATATTGTCACACTTCGGAAGATTTTTTATTATGCAAACCTTATTAACAAACCTGAAAACTCATTACTCCTTTGGAATACCTACTTTGCAAAAATCTAGGCGACTATATTGGAGTTTATGAAACATGGATAGGAATAAAGTGCCTATAACTGCCATAGTGTAAGAATAGAATCTTGTTTACTTATTTCAATCTTTTTCATACCGTTATTCCCATCCATCCAATGTTTCAATTTCTACATTTACTTATATTTCAGGTTAAATTTTAATGCAAGTGTTCGAACTTAAACTTGCTTACCAAACTGCTCTTGATATTTGATTTTTTTTGAGTTTTTTGTTGTGTTTCTTTTTTTTTCTTATTACACTAAATAATTGCGCGTTAACTATTATGTGTTGTCCTGTAATTGGAATGTCTGTTCTGTTGGGCAATAAATCTCTCTATTATTATTATTATTATTATTATTATTATTATTTCCATTGTACGTTAAGGCCCCAACATATATTAATCGAGAATGGTTTGCCACATTTTCATATTTGGTGAAGATATAGTTTCTCGACATTCTTAATAATACATTCTGTATCAGTTCCCAAAGATTATCTAAGGAGAATGCTGCTGACAAGTTTTGAAATGTGTATGTGTATCATGTGCCCCGTCGGTACCCTCTTCAGCTATATCCCCACACTTACAAATGTTGATAAAAACAAAAATAATGATCCTTCAGTGATTCTTCAAGGACTTTAACATCATATGTTTTAACAAATTCTTAATACATTCCCGACAATTTTTTTATATCGTTTGTAGACTATTCCGTTATGTTTTGAAGCGTCTCTATTAAGTTTCTCCGGGTAAGCTTCGGACGTTAAAGAAATACAAGGACAAGATTTAGATGTTTATAAAATGCATATGTAGAATCCTTCAGACAGTGAATTTTTTCCAGAGCCATTGCAGCGAGGGTTTTCAGAGGTTTCTGAGACTCTTCGAAAACCCTTCAGAAGTTCTTCCAAATTTCTTTAGACGGCTTTAAGCATTTCTTTAAAGATAATCAAGGTCTTCAGAAAATTATTTGGATATTTTTTATAAGAATTTTAGACAATTCGATTAGGATCCTTCAGGTTTCTGAATGGAATATTTTAAAGAATCTCTAATCATTCTCTAAGGGTTCTTTATAGATTCTTCTGATATTTCTTGTTAGATTGTTCAAATAACATATTTTAAGGTTTCCTCGGTGTTTTTTAGCGATTATTTTTGCGGATGTCTATATTCACAGATCTCTCAATATTTTTTTTAGAAAATTGAGGAATTCTACAGAGAAGTGTTTCAAAAATTGTTGAGATAATTTATGAAAGATTTATACAAATTATGGTGTAATTTTTTAGGGCCTATCAGAGAATTTTCATAGATCATCAATGATTCCACAGGATTCCCAAACAATCAGCATGAGAATAAACTTTTAACTCATTAGACCAAGTTCACCGATAAACCAAACTGCATTTTTTCTTAAGACAATCACTTATCGCGATCACTAAAAATCTTCCAGAGAACAACTCACAAAGATTAGTCCAGTGTGGTTTTTGGTATTTGCTTCAGCACCTGAAAAACTTTAAAGGGGATCTGTAAGAATCTCGGGAGGGTGTGTGGAAAAGTATCAGTAAGTAATCTCTGCAGGATTGCTCTAAAACACCTCTGACGAATCTGTGAAAAACCTCAGATCCAAAATGAAAGTTTTGTGAAAAAATATGTTTGACCATGGTTTGACCGAGATTTGGAAAAGCATTCGAAAATTCTCTGGGAAACTTAAACATTGATATCCGTCAAAGCTCCTCACTAACCTACAAAAAATCTAAGAATCTCAAAGGAGTCTTTCCTTGAATACTCTCTGAACTATTTTATTATTTACAAAAACCTTCATCAAAATCCGATCGCCACTAGAAAGCTATACGAAAAAAATCGAAATATCAATAATGCGAAACACCCCAAAACTGAAGATGATTTGGGAATCGTCTCTCTTTTGCGATGGCAGGCAGGCTGCACAATTAATTAAAGCAGTTTTAATTTTTATCCGAATACAATGGACTGGTTAGGAAACTCTCCATCGCATGCCCGAATTTTATGAAAGGTAAAGGGGATCTTTTTGGCGTTTTAACCAAATCGTAAGATCTTTTGACTTTGGTGTTTTGCTAGTTACAGTTGTACGTACCGTAATAATTTGGATAACTTTGGAGACTACATTAAGTGCACCTCGCCGTATTTACTTAGCTTTTGCTTTTTCTTGCACAGTTATTTCAACCGTTCAATTATTTATAAGGGAAAATCTGTTTCGCTTTCCTGCTTTTAGTTTCCCGTAGACACCAGTAATAAATTTGTTTTGTTGCTTTCATTCCCGCTAAGGAACTTGCCGTATGGGCCTTGCGCCATAATTTTGTTTTAGTTGACTGAGTTTACTCCGAGACCGTTCCGCAAACCGCTGCGGACCAGAGGCAAGGCCGTACACCCTCGGTGACGCTCGAATCCGTCAGTCCGTTCCACCGACATCACATCCAGGATGCCGCCTACAGCCGCTAATTTTGTCCGCTCACGTAATTTATTTACAATTTATACTGCTTTCATGGTATCTTCACGAATGATTCATGCGTACTTCGTAGTTTCTCCACGCATTCTTTCTCCTCATTTATTCCCATCATATCTTCCTTCACATTTGTTCCATTCACTCCTACTACACACTTTCTTTATGCATATTTCCTCTATTTAGCTTTTCAAAGCCTGTCTATGTCTTCTTCACTTTCTGTTTGTTCTCGCTTCTTTTCTTTACTGTTCCCTCACGGCTTCACAGTCCTCACCTCTCACCAATGTTCTACTACCCCGTCCTCCTCACCTTTTCCTGCATGTCTGTTCGTTTAAGACTCCTTTAAATCTCCTTCGTGTTTTCAATATACCTTCTTGACGCCTCTTTCTTACCTTCGTTTCGCTTTCACGTCTCTATATAAATCTATCACGCTTTTTGCCAGATTCATTTACACCTTTACACCTCCCTCGTCAACACACCTTATTTCATCTTTTCTATGCACCCACATCGTTCAATCCTGCTTCTTTCAAACGTTCCTTTACGCCTCCACCATGTCTCTTACATGCTTACTTCACTTTTCTGTTCATTTACCCTTTCTTCGCGACTTACTCGCGCATTCTTCTCAGTTTCTTCTGATCTTATCTACGTCTTACATCTCTCACGCCTTGCTTGCTTGATTTTGGCCCTCACCACCTTATGTCTCTTTTTTAACTCTTTCATTAGCCTTCCTATTATCCGTTCTTTACGACTCTTTCGCGTTTTGTTCTCCTTTTTTCACCTCTTCTCCAAGTTTAGTCACACATGATCTTGTCACGTCTTTTCCATGACAACTATCGTCTTCAAGCCTCCTATACGTTTTGAATCCGCTTTTTATACGCCTCCTTCATGACTCCTCGTCGACTCATTGAGCACGGGCTGTCTGACTGCGTGAACTGCCTTCTT